AGGAAACTAAGAAAATATATATATCGCGATGAAATTTTCTTTCTGCATCAGACGTTATATATATATTCCACATAGTGTGTATAGATTACAGAATGTGGATGCTGGAAGTATTTACCGCCGGCATCGTGAACGTGACTAAAGAGGCCTTGTTACTGTAATCGTTGCTGGACCAAAAAGAGTATATCCTTAAATCTGGCAAGCCAACACCTAAACACGGTCATCATCGCTTTCTTATTATAAGATCACATCGTACACTGCTTTCCAAGTGGTGCTTACTCATGACCTTAAACCTCCACCTTTTATATACATATATATTGTATAAGATTACAATATACATTTTAGTGATACAATTTCCTAAAATTTTCATTCTTCATATCTTTAATCTTCTATTAAACTTGACAAAATTGCTTTTAATTACTTTTTACATCCATTAAATATATATGAGGTAAATAAATTTTTATTTGGTTCAAATATAAAAATTCTATTTGTTTCTAAATCCAAAAGATTGTCTTATACAAAAAAACGCGATTGCAAAACGAAAAGTAGAAAATTAAGACAGGTTCATTACGTCCTGTCGCCGTCAGATGGCAGAAGCATACAGGGAGCATAGAGTCGCAGCTGTTATTATACACTACTTTTCGTTTTGCAATCGGGTTTTTGTATGGTTTTGCACTATTTAGGAAATTTATAAAATAAGGATTTTTATGGGGGGAAATAAAAAACGAAGATAAATAGAAATTGAATCAATAGTATAAGGGGGATTTTGTCTGACAAAACGAAAGAGAGAAAGGGAGAAAAAACGATGGAGCAGCAAGATCTCACGAGGTATCTCGATAAATCCCTTCGTCGGACAAATAACGACAAGCCTCATTACTATAAACACGTCTCGCGAAGTCTGCGTGTGGCGCTCCACGACACGTTTTGCATTGGCTCTCCTCTTCTTTTTTTATACACTTTTACATTTATTTATTTATTCTTTTTTCTTATTTTATTTCTCTCTCTCTTTCTATCTTCTTCTTTTTTTTTTGTTGTATCATTTATTCTTATTTTCCTATGCGAATTGTTGGACGTTATACCACGCTCTAATCGCGTTCCAACACGCTGAGCAAATTTTGTACCATGGTAATAAACACCATCGAACGTGTAGAAACGTTTAGTCTCTTCGCTTTTACAAGCACACGCGGGGCATTATTATATTATACACTCGGAAGTGTGAACAAAATTCAGTTGCACGATTTTATATTCGATTTATTTCATTCATAATTTTACTGACGTCTCGACGTTTTTCTATTTATAGAGATATATATATACAAATAAAGAGAAAATTTATTCAAAAATGTAAATTAAATGATGTAGAGAGGGGAAAAACATAGACATAAAAGAGAATTTTTAATACACTGAAAAAAATTATTTGATTCAAATAATTGAAATTTTGTGAAATTAAAATTAATTATAAATTTAGTTAAATTTTTATATTGAAAAAAAATCTTTAATGGAAAAAGTGTAAAAGAGAAAGTTAATAAATTTCTTGTAAGGATTCTTTTAACACAAAAAGTTTGTTCGCGTTGATAAAGTCCATTCTCTCTAAATATGTATATATACATAGCTAAAAATATGTATATGTGTGCAAAGGTTGAAAAGTAATTTATTGTGGTCGATCGATACGTCAATTAATTTTCGAAAGAGGCTAAATGGTCTAATTTAAATTACCGTCAGGGAAACGATATTCAGACAAGGGATTGCATATATAAACGTCGGGAGCTTCGCACACCTGGCGAATCGACCTGGAAGTTCTCATTTTTAAGGGTTTCCACAAATTTTATTATTTTTCGTTCTTTATTTATTTTTTGAAAGGACGTAAAAATAATAAACTGTATTTATTTGATTCAATTAAAAAATATTTTAGGTGACATTTTTTTCTATGAACAATAAATACATAGAATGGTTAAAAAATTAACAAGATGGTAAAAAATTTTGAAAAATGACAATATAAAAAATACCGATACCGAAATCTAACTTACCGACTGATGGTAAAATAGATTTTTTGAAAATTTAAAATATAAAAATTACCGATATATAAATCTACCATACCGATCGATGATAAAGCAGTTTTTGACAAATGAAAATATAAGAAATTACTGACCTAGAAATCTACCTTACCGACTGATGGTTAGACAGGTTTTTTGACAAATGAAAATATAAAAACTTACCGACATAGAAATCTACCTTACCAACTGATGGTAAAACAGGTTTTTTTACAAATGGAAATATAAAAAATTACCGACATAGAAATCTACCTTACCAACTGATGGTAAAACAGGTTTTTTACAAATGGAAATATAAAAAATTACCGACACAGAAATCTACTTTACCGACCGATGGTAAAGGTTTTTTGAAATTTTATCGGCTTTCAAATTTTTTTACCATCAGTCGGTAATATAGATTTCTATGTCGGTAATTTTTTATATTTTTATTTTTCAAAAAACTGTTTTACCATCAGTCGGCAAGGTAGATTTCCGTGTCGGTAATTTTTTATATTTTCATTTTTAAAAATTTTTTATCATCAGTCATTAATACATCTAAAAAATGTTTATTAAAATCTGATTTTGTAATTTTTTCTGTCAGTCATCAGTTTTATGATTTGCCAATCGTGTGGTTTCTGATAAAGCCGCACTTGTTTTATTTACATACACTGAACAAGAAAAGTGACTGATTTTATATTTTGTCGACCTAGTGATTATTCGTGTGTTTTTTTTCTTCTAATTTTTATTATAACACTCGTTTTATTTATTTCCAATTCTCACCGCAATGAAACATGAGAATCATTGCAATACGTTTTAATATTATAAATTTTTGTTTAAATTTTTTTTATTTATTTATTTTTATTTAAAATAGAAACAAATTAACACAGAAATGTAGGTTTATTATATTATTATAATTATTATATGTATATAATTTTTATAATAATTAATTTTATAAAAAATGGTAAAGACATTTTTTTTCGGTATGAGAAAAAAATATGTAAGGAAAAAAAAAGTTATTTGGAAGTGTGTGAAAATGGCTTTGAAATTTGATTAATATCTTTTTGAAATTTTTATAGGAGCTAATGAGGCCATTTAAGTTTGATAAATATAGTAAATATAGACTTCTCTTTGCGCGTTCGCGTTCAACGAGATAAAAAGACCTCTCAAAGGCCCTTAGGGCACAATGAAGTCCGCTTCGTGTAATTTTCATCAGGTGGGTGGATATCCCATTATTTTGCATTACAGGGTCTTTCACCGTAAAACACCGATTATTCCAAAATTCTCAAAAGCATTTTTCCCTTATTTTTCGATATATACGCGGATTTATACATTTGTCATATCAAAATTTGCACACAAAAAAAAGAAAAAATAAATAATTTACACAACTTGATTAATTAAAAATTCAGTCAAACAATTTATTATATATATATATATATATATATATATATATATAAAAGTTTTATCTGGAACAACGAAAAGTTTCACTAGAATAGTGATAATGATTTATCTAAAATAATTAAAACTTTTGCTATTCCAATGACACCTTTCTCTGATCCAGGTAAATTTTTTTTAGTTTTAATAATTTTTTGAGCGGGTGCATCTCAATAATTGAAGAAAGTGTTCTAATAAAATTGGTATGAGAAATAAATGCGGAGATAAAATTTATCGTGTAGCTCTGGCAATATATTAATAGCATGTCATTATTTGTATACGTGATTTCGGCTCGTTATATAAAGAGGATTCATATTATCTCAGCAATGTGTACTGACAATCGTCGTATTTGTGAAACAACTTAGGTATTTCATATATATATGTATATAGGTATCTTTATATGTATGTGTATCCGAGGAACATTGAAGGGTTCTGTTGATCGCGTCTGCTCGTCACGATACACACCGTATTATTATGACGCCTTCCATGCAGAACTATCGATCGAGATCGATGATATTAATAGTCGCTAACTATACAGTCCTCACACACATCTCGCCTTCTTCTCACACCCGATCTTATACCTTTATATTAACTTTTCAAGGGCTTTTCGAATTTTCATTTCCTTCATTTTATTTTAATTGAAAAAAAATTTATTTCTTTCAAAAAATGATTTTTCAAAAAATTATTCTCCAATTTTTAATTAAGATTTTTTAATTAAAATACCAACACGTATACAATTTCAAAAATTAAATAAAAATATATTTTTCATTTAAAGAAATAAAAAAATATTATCTTAATTTAGAAAAATTTATTTATGTTTATTTTATTATTAATTATTATTGAATTAATAATTTAGTAATAATTATTTGAAGTTTTTTCTCATTTTTTAACCAATTTTCATAAGGTCTCATTTTTCAATTTAAAAACTTTTCTCTCAAACTTTTTTCTTCAGTTAAATTGAATTAAAAAAGGAATTTTAAATTAAATAAAATAATTAATTTATAATTTAAAAATTAAATAAAATTTCCTACTGTCAGAAATTTAGAATTTGTTATTAAAATGCAATTTTTAATTATTCAAAATATTAAATTTTTTACATTTGCTTATACATTAATTATTTATTTTTACTTATTTTATATTTATTATTTACTTAATAATTTAGTAAAATTATTTGAAATTTAATTTAAAAATTTGTTAAAATTGACAAATTACATAAATTTAAATTTAAATACATTTGAGATTTAAAATATACCCCGACGACATCTACACGATTCCAGAGGAAATATGTATATAAAGAATGTAATCCGTCGATAAAATATACCATACGTTTTACCTTTTATGGAAATTGCATCTTATTTTGTATCGATATTTGTGAAAACAAAAATTCGAATTCAAAATTACAGGATTTTAATAGAAAACAAATAAATATTTTCATTTATTGATATTTTTGTATTTCAAATTATTTGAAGAAATTTGAATTTTCCCGCTTTGCGCGAGAGTGCGCCACTTGTGATAGTTCTTCTGCGCATGTCACGCATGCGCGTAATGACAGTGCACTGATCGCACCTTGCGTTCATTCTCTCTCTATTCTTTAGTCATAAAAATAATAAACAAAAGGAACGAGTTCACTGATGCATCTTTTCTTCCAGTGTTTTTGATCATGTGTTTCATCGAGTGTGTACCTAATTAGAGTGTTTTCTTTTTTATATAAAACTTGCGGGGAGAAAAAAAAATTCAACTTTAGGTGAGCTACTTAACCTCTCAAAGCATCACAACTTGTCTTTGCGCTTATGCACAAATTTTATTCCTTTTGTATATTTTTCATATTTCAAAAAATTACAATTTATTTCTTAATTAATAATCGATATTTTGAATTTTATTAGCGAATTTTTTTTTACAATTTTATTGACTACAGTTTTCATAAGGAAAATAAGTAAACGTTATAAAAGTGAAATGCCTTTCTGTGCGTTCAAGTGCCCGTAAAAATAATCCTATTTCTGTACACACACAGTTGTAATGTATCTCCAAAGAGTTATTTTGCCAGACACGATTCTCAATTTTTTTCTCTTCTCTATACTTTTTAATATATCTACATCTTACTGTTTGAAAATTATTGATATCTCTCTTGTATAAATTACGATTATTAAATTCCCAACTCCAACTTCCGAAATTAATTTTTTATTCAAATTCTACGATAAGCTCTCTTCGTATTTTTTTAATATATAATTTTAAAATTGTTGACATTTCAATGCAATTTTATACTTTACCAATTCAGAAAAAATTTGAATATCGATTTTCAACTAATATGTAGAAATTCGATTCTATAATTTACTATTTTTTTATTCTTAAGGATTTTCTAAATTTGCGAGTACCTCAGTAGTTCAAAGACTGGAAGAATTTTTGAACATATTAAATATTTTGTAATTTTGTAAAATTAATTAAATCGAATAATTAATCCTTGTTAAGAAATTGAGCAGGAATGATTTTTTATTTAAAATTGAAAATAAGAAGTGTATTGTTATACACGTGATATAATTTTTAACGTTAATGAAATAATTATACTTTTATAAAATAAGATAAAATTTACTGTTATTATAAATAATTGTTTTTGTTTTTATTTTAGATTTTCAAAATGACTGAAGGTGGTGCAATAAAAACGAAGCGCAATGGTGCTCGAATTTTTAAAAATCCCCCACAACCTCATATGTGCATTCAAGATTATATGCAGGTAATATAAAATTTTATACATTGTTCTACACTTCTTTTTTCATGAATATAAATAATAATTTATATTTATTGAGAAATGAAAGAAAGAAATATAATTAATTTTTATTTATCCAGGGTTCTGAACTTCCTTGCTACGTTAATGTCTTGTCGTGGGACAAGGTCGCTATGCATTGCAGCCTCTATCAGAATGTGCCACTTTATGGAGGAATGAGAGTATCACCCCCTCGAGGGGAAAAAGCAGAAGTTGGCGTTTTTGCCGTAATTGCAAATCCTGAACTTCTCAAACTTTACGGAAAAAATTGCCAAGATGTCAAGGTTTAAATTCTTTTCATTTAAATTAGTTTACTAAATTGTTATTTAATTTTATAATTAAAATCGATTATTGAAATTTTCAGGATCAAGCAACGTTAATAGAAGCTTTGCTCGATTTTGTGGAGACTAAAAATGAAGGAGTTTACTTTTCTCGACAATATGTTATTCTTAAAGACAAAGATATCACTGGCGAATTGAAAGAAGTGTGGATGGCAGTTCAAGCCAAGAGGGAGAGAGAAAATCTTCTACCTCAACAAGAAACGTGGATAGATGCTCAGCCACCTTCTCCCCAATATCCACAATATTCTGATCAACAATTACAAAATCCACCACAACAACAACAACAACAACAGCAACACGTAGAATACGCACATCCACCACAATATCGATCAAACGCCGCTTATCCCATTGGATCAGTACAAAGCAATGAAATAGTTAATCACGAGAGAGAAATTCGTTACAATTATCAACAACAAAATGCAATAGTCAGACAAAATGAACAAATTTATCAATCATTCAATCCACAAGATCGTTGTTATAATTATCGTGAACGAGGTCGACCAAACGTTCAACAAAATCCACCGCAACAAAATTGTCCCGCATATCCTGCGCCGCAATATCAATTTCAACAACTTCCACGACAAATGGTGCCACAATATGTTAATTCAAATATGCATATCAATTCAAATCCTAATTCAAATATGACTAATCAAGATTACAAAATGAATCTCAATTTTTCATCGAAATTTTATGAGTTAAAAGGAATGCAACAACAGCAGCAACAACAAATAACTGATAGGAGCCAAACAAATAATACAATGTTTGTACCCGTTGAATTTAAAGAATTATGGTTGGCCGATCAAGTTTTACAACAACAGCAACAACAACAGCAGCAGCAACAGCAACAAATGCAACAGAATCAAATCCCACGACTTGTTTATCAACATAAGCGACAAATGCATCGGCAAAAGCAAATTCAGCAACAACAGCAGTTGCAATACTGTCCTACAAATGAAAAACTACAGTAAGTTATAATTTATAAATTTTAATACATCTGATTTTTTTTTAAAAACTTGTAAAATGCAAATTTTTTTTAAATTTAGGGTAGAACAGCAACAAATTCAACAACAGCATCAAATTCAAATGCAACAACATCAGATTCAAGAACAACAACAGCATCAAATTCAGATTCAACAACAGCAGATTCAAGAGCAACAACAGCATCAAATTCAGATGCAACAACAGCAGATTCAAGAGCAACAACAACAGCAATTTATAAATTATCAACAATCAACCAATCAACAGTATCAACGTCAAACACAACAAATGCCACAAAGTCAAAATCAATCTCAATCTGAGAATCAAATTGATGTCGGCGACAAACGGTCCAAGAGAAAAAATTCTCAATATATTGGCGGTAAGCAAAATTTATGCCATTATAACGAATATATATTTTTTAAGTATTAAAATTAATTGCAATTTTAATTTCTATATCGAAAATCATAATTCCTTCAATCAAATTTGCTTTTTCATTCTCTTTAAAAAATACAATTTCTTTAAGTTAAACCTTTTTTCATCTAGCGAAATACCTCCTCCCATTCGTTCCAAAAATTGAAGAATTTTCAATGGATTTTTTTTTTCGCAGAATTGGATAAAACACAAGAACAACAATATAGGACAATACAATTGAGATCAGATATGAGAAAATGGTCAAATAAACAAGATTTGACTGATTGTGAAATTGGCGATCCCTCGAAGAGAAAAGTAAAAAGGTGCCGTGTTGCATGGAATTCACTTTGTAATAGAAAAGGAAAACTTGACGGTGAAAAATTGAATCAAACAAAAAGTGACTCAACAATAAATACAAATGATCAGGACGAGGGTTATCATCAAGCTTATACGATATTAAAAAAACCCGACGTGTCAACTACAACAAAAACAATACCAACAACAACGACAACAACAATAAATAGTGAAGAATCCAATGTCCAAAAGTCGAATGATTTGGAGGACGAAATCGAGAAGAAACTCGCTCAGATATCCATTGAAGACTGTAAGGACGCGACTGAAGTCAATGTCGTGCTTTCGTGATAGATTAGTTATTAATTAATTAATACACATTAATAAGGTAAGACATAAGTTTAGTGTACATAACTAGATAGCGTTCATAATAATCCGGTAAGAAAAAAATAATAGTCGACGAGATGATTCCAAATCCGTATTCACTATTAAGCAGAAAAAAAAAACAAACGCCTTTGAAACTGTCGAATCACAACCCTGCCTTTTCATATACTCTCGTCACATTGCTGGGTAGTTGAACAGTTTCGAAAAAAACAATTTTTCTTTTTTTTGCTTTCAGACATTTAAATTTGAAAAAACCGGGAGTTTTAGAATTGAATTTTTTTTTTTTTAAGCAATTATTTAATTAAGCAAAAAATAATCTTTTAATTACTTACACCCAGAGAAATTATATATTTGTCTCAGAGTCAAATAAACTTTATTTGTAATTTTTTATTTGCAACAAATAAAAATTTATTAGACTTTAAGACAAATATACTTTAAATAAATAAAAGATTCCTCTGGATGTATATTGAATGATGATTTTCAATTTTTTCGACGCGCTAAGAATCTAAAATAATGTTACTCTAGCAAAAAAAAATTCTACTTTTATAAAATATTTTCAAAAAAAATTTTCAAAGATTTCTTTTGAAAATTATTGAAAAATAAATGGAAATCTGATTTTTAAGTTTCATTTTATGGCAAATTAATGTAATATAAATGTTTAAAAAAAATATATTCTATATTTGTAATTTTTTATTTAATTTGAAGACAATAGAAACATTTTTCTTTTACTATAATTTGTCATAAAGTGGAATTTGAAATTCTCCCTACCATTTTTCATTTTTTTTCAGTATTTTTGTGATAGTGAAAAAAAAATCATTGTAGGCAAATATTTTTTGTTAATGAATCATAATTTTAGATTCTAAATAGTGGAAGAAAAAAACAAAGTTCTACAATTTCTTTTTTTAAATTGAAAAAAAAAAAATTAATCGCGTGATTTGATCGACCGAATAAAAAACAACCTGAGAGAGACACATTTGAACATTATAGTTGAAAATAATTATTTTAGTATAATAATTTATTTTTTAAAAAATAAGTTTTCTTTTCAACTATATGTTAAATAAATGATTACTCAGATTGTGTTTTTGAAAAAATTTCAAAGAAAAATATTTATATACACAGACACAGCATCGGAAAAGTTATTTTTTATTTTTTGTGATCGGTTTTGAAAATATTTCGTTGGGGTTTGCTGGCGTGGCTGTGAAAAGAAAGAAAGGCAAAAGTGAAAAAAAAAAATCAGCTAGGAGACTCACGACCAAGCGATATTTTAAAAGTGATTTATTTGGACAGCCAGAAATTCACAAGACAATATTTAGGATATTGCAAAAACGTATAAAGAATTTCAAATTCAGAATGATTACCTCTCTCCCTTATAAAGAATAATATGATGAAAAATGAGTCCTTGCAAAGAACTGATATTAACTTTTATTAATGATTATTATAAATATATATATATATAAAAATATATAAATTAATTAGGACTATAAAATAAACATAATATTAAAAACGGAACTTCTTGAATGAAGACCGGAACGCCTTGTTCCTAATGCTGAACACGCACCGACACACGAAGGCTTTGGATTTGACGTAGACTTAAGAGTTTAAAAAAAAAAAAATCATTACTCGTATGGAACTTCAAAAAAAAAAATAGAAAAAAAATCTTAAAGGCTTTCGTGTAAATTTAAACGAGCCAAAATTTTTTGTTCGGTATACTCCGCCATTTGTCTTCGCAGTTTAGTCAGGATAGAATTAGTTAATGAAATAAGAATTAAAAAAAAAAAAAAACAATACGAACACCATTTGTAAATCGTAAATAGGTGCTCTTCCATAAAAAAAAAAGAAATTGCCTCAAATACACAATTCGCGATTTTCTAGACACACAATAATTGAAAGACGACGATGTGACGGCCAATTGGATTCAATCCACTATTGACAAAAAAAAAAAGAAAAATGCGTCACAATTTACGAAAAATGGATTTGAGCAGAGATCATTTTCTGAATTGATACGCGACAGTGATTTGAATTTTGTCCTTCGTAATTCCGGTGGATGATGAAAATTCATTTAAAAAAAAAATATAATTTATTTTTAATTTCTTAATGTATTGATATTTTTATAATTTTAACTTTTTTAATTTTTTTGTCTTTCAGATTTTTTTTTTAATTTCTCCTTCAAATTAATTTTTTTTTCAAGTTTAATTTTTTCACTAATTGTTTTTTTGTTTTTCTGTACTATAAAATTTTTAACACTTTTTAAAAGCAAAAATCACTTTATTTTATGTTAAGTTATTTCTTTGAGAAAACATTCATCTATTTTTGAAAAATCGTAATTAAAAGAAAATTTAATTTAATTTAATGATTTTTCTTCATTAAAAATTGTTTTCATATCAGAGTCATCCGTAATTATAATTATCACATTCATTTAAGAAAATAATAAATAGCTATAAACAATTATAATTTTAATTTAAATATTTTAAAATTTTATTTTAACATTCTGTCAAATGTTCATGGTCCTATTTATCATTTTCAGTATTAATTTTAATAACAAAAAAAAAAAAATAATTACAAATTGTTCTGATTAAAAAGTAACAATCAAGAATAAATAAATGAATATTTTGTCATCTACTGTGAATTGTGAGGCAATTTTAAAAAATACAAGAATAAGGTGGTTATTGTCTCATAAATTGTGATTCTGACCAAAAATTAATGAGAGATCGCAGTGTGCATACTTTTATCAATAATAATGTAATCGATGCTCGACATCAGCTGCTGTTTAGAATACGTATTATATTAATAAGAATTCAAATATGTATAAAAAAAAGAAGTTTAATCTTACGACTAGATTGTAAAAAAAAAAGCGGCGAATGTTTCAAATAATCGTCATTTTCAAAGTTTTGCATCGAGAAAAAACAATTTTTTTTTCCTGATAATTTTATCAAATTTTCAATATAAAAATCGAAAAATCCCGTCAAAATAGAAAATTTACTATTTTTTTCAGTTTTTTGATATACAAACCAAAATAATAAATTACATTTTATTTTTTTAAATAATCATTACTGTAAATTTTAGAAAGTTTATTTAAATGAAATTATAAAAAAAAATTATATAAAAACTAAATTAGAATTTAATTAAATTCGAAATTAAAATTTTTTTATTATTATTTATATTATATTGTTGATTGTATTATTTATTATTGTTATTATTATAATTATGTTTAATATATATTAGTATGTCAAACACTATTTTTAAACAAATATGGTAAATTTTCAATTTTGTCTGTAAATTTTAATTTTTATCGAAAATTCAGTAAAAGAAAATTATTTTTCTCCTTGTAGATTTATTATTATTCTTTTATTGCAAAATTTCCCATGGAAATGTTGCGTCTCTTTAGAAAAAAAAAAATGAATTATATTATTATATTGCTTCGCGTATTTTTACATTTTTTGATGGGACAAAAAAAACATTTATATGCTTAAAATTTTTTTTAAAAAAACGTCCCTTAAAAAAATTGAGAGCCGCATCAATTTTCATTTGTCCCAAAATGTATAATCATTATCTGGCTGCGATCGAATGAGGGAAAGGACTTGGTCGCAGTGAAATGAAATGAGAAATTTTAGAAAATTTCAATTTATTTATTATAAATAAAAAGAAAAAAAGAAACAAAAAAAAAAATATTTCTAAAGAAAAGAATATATATTTGATTGGGTTGCTCTATATTATACATTTTATTATAAGGAATTCTTGTTTTTGAATTACATTTTTTTTTTTTTTTTAATAAGCAAATTCAAGTTCGAATCGATAATTGAGATTAATCGTTATGATTTTAGTTATTATTATTATTTACAAACTAATTTTATTTAAATAGTGTTTTTATAATTTTAAGTCTACCAAATACTGTGTATAACAGGAAAAAGAAAAAAAAAATTATAATTTTTGTTTGTTTGTTAAACAAATCCAATGTTTAATTGAAATTATTTTTATTTTTTTGTTTTTTTACTTTAGAAAGAGAATCAATGATAAAATTTTAGTTTATTTATGCATTTTAATTGATCTCCATTTTACAACAAAAAATAAAATATTATTTATTTTGTTTGTTTTTTTTTCTTTTCTTCTCTCTTATTTTGAATTTTGATTCTTCACAAAAAAAAATTTTTAATCTGAGTTATATAAACTTAAATTAATGCAAAAAAAAAAAAAAAAGTATTATTAATTGCGATTGGGTGCGGGTAAATGAGAAAAAGAAAAGAAAATCTTTAGAGAAATTTATTTTTTTAAACTTTAGCGGTTTAAGGCCAACAATAATAACTTTGAATTTTTATACGCATTATTTAGATTTTTAATAATAAACTTTCAATGCGACTTTTTCCTTTCTCGAAAATTTAGTTTCTTTACAATCCGATATCCAGCTATTGTTATTAATAATATGTATTCAGTATTCATGTTATTTTAGATTATTATAATATTATATGGTTTAATATTTGTGACCATTAATATTGTAATCTATTATTATTCTATAATACACGTTTTTTCCAAAGTTAACTCGTTTATTTTTTTAGAGTTAATAAGTTAATAAAAAAATAATTATAAGTTAATTTATTATTTTTAAGACAAATTAAATAATAATAATAGATTTCTCAGAAGATTAAAAAAATTTGTTATTTTGAGAAATTTTGATTTTATTGCATTCTCATTTTTTTTTTTTTTTTTGATTAATTAATTAAATGGGATATTTAGTTGACATTTTAAAAAAATAATATTATTGAAGATTTTTTATAAGTTTTATTGATTTATATAAATAATTTTTTAAATTTGTTTTTCAGCGAATAAATATGATGGATTTGTTCTTGTTACAATATTTATAAATTTATTTGTGCACGCATAAAATAGAGCGCAAAATACACTTTCACTTACGCATATAAGTGCGTGTAACATGTAAGTTTGCACCAGAATATATATTTTATAAAGGTTCCCCCTGCCATTTTCAACGCTAGATAGAATACTACTTTCGCTTTCTGATCGTTCCGAAGAGCAACTCCTGAGCTCTTTTCTTAACGCTTTCGCCGATCCCCGCTCAATCAAGCAAACGAAAAGATCACTGACTTGTCGTGGTATAGTCCTCTCGGATTCAAAAAAAAAAATTTCAATTTTTGATGTGCGTGATTTTAAATATAATTTTTTTTTCAAGATTTTATTTTCAAAAAAAAAATAATTTTGTGAAAAAGTGTGAAGTGTTAAAAAAAATTATGTGTGTATAAATTTTAAAAAATATGTGGAGTAGAGAGAAAAAAACAACAAAAAAAAGGTATGAATTAAAAAAAAAATTTTGAGACCTTTTGTTAAATAGAAATTATATAATTTAGTAGAGTAATAAAATTTTTTTATGATTTGAAAATAAAATAATAATTTTGTCAAGGTGAGGGAAAAATAAAAAATTTTGTTTGGAAATTAAAAGAAAACAAAATGGAATATTTATTATGACAATCCTGTAATATCATTTTTTTTCATAAAAGTAAATTTTTATTTATTTATTCGTTTATACACAATTTTACAATCCAATTGTATCATAAATAAACTATTCGATATGAAATAGACGAATATTTTTCAAAAAAAAATTTTAATGTTAAAATTTCTTTAGAACTTTTCTTTTATGTACTCATTGCATATGATTATATGTATAATCATTTTTTTGAAAAGTTTACCAAATAATATAACCTAGGAACTATTATTTTTTTTTGTAAATAATTTTTAAAAAAATTTAAGTGAAATATTATAATTCATTTTATATAATATAATTCTCTCTGTAGAAAGAAAAAAATACTAATTTTCTCTTTATCTAGTAATTTAATTTTTTTTAATATTTAACTTAAAAATGTTTTTTTATGTTTTATATTTTTTTTTATATTAATTTTTTTAATATTAGACTTTTTTTTATTATTTTAAATAATAAATCATTTTTGAAAAATTTGTATAAGAAATAATTCATGATAATAAATAAATTTATTAAATCATTACCATTTATTTCTAGGATGAAGATTAAGGATCAATAACCCCATTTCTTTTTGCTAAACCTGCTACATCTTTGATTTTATCATCGTTTACATATATATCTACTTTTTAAATATTTCACATGGATCAGACTATTGAAGTTGTTCCTAATTTGGATATACGATGGAGAAAAAAATGAATATGAAATGAACGAAATATTTGAAAATTTCTTTTGGAATTATCTTTTAATATTCAAAAATAATTTGAATAAAAAAAAAAAGAAATAGATACATGAATAATTTTGATAAAAAATCTAACAGAGAAGGGAGATAAATGAGAGAAGGAGTAAATTTCCTTTCTCCGGAGATGTCGTAAAACGAATAGCGAAGCATACCAGCCCTACTCTCAACATTAAAATATATAGAGTCTTGTTTTCCTTTCGTACTTGCCGATTGTAACACAGAAGAAGAAGAAGAAGAAGAAGAAGACGAAGAAAAAGGAAAAAAAGGAAAAGTTTATATTAGTTATATTCAACTGAAGTGAGGTGTTATTATTTCAAGAAAGAGATACTTTCGTCGTGTAACAAACAAAACGGTACACTCTATTTTCAAGTGTGGGAAGCTGTAGATGGACCTCTTAACTTTTGTTTTTGAAAGGATAGATCAATTTCATATATATTTGAACTAGGATTTTTTCTTCAACAAGCTCTCAATGATAGTGTGAGATTTTGTTTGTTTTTTTTTTTCTATTCAATTTTATTTGAAACAATTTTTTTTTACATTTTTCTTTTTATATTACAGATATTGAATATTGGTGTTTTATTTATTATCAGTGATACTTGATTGAAGTGGAAAATGATGTTTGGAAATTACAGTGAAACCTGTTCGGTGAGAACCGAAGATGTTGAGGGTGAGTTTTATTTTTTTGAAAATTTAATTAGACTTGGAGATAATTTTAGAAATTTTTTTTTGAAAATAGTAAATTGAATTTATTAAAAACAAAAAATCAAAATTACTGTATATTATAAAATATAATTTTTTTTTACTATTAAATATTTGATGGTAATATAAAAATTTACAAAAATTTGAAATTTACATTAATTTAAGAAAATTTAAGAAAAATTGAAATTTTTTTTGTGCCTTTTTATATTTGGAAAAACGAAAGGTGCAAAATAGAAATTTCTATAGTAGTTTTTCTGATCTTTGAGAACAAAGAAGCAGAGCAGAGAAAAAAAAGCTTATAAACCAGTCAAGTATGAAATTCGGTGAAAGTTGGGCGAACTAAAGAAAAAAAAAAGAAGAAATTTAATGATTTTGCAATATCATTCTCGCAACATCCTAAAGGATCATTATTTTTTATCATTTCGAAATTATGCTAATAAGATTTTGCGTATCGGAAATAAATTTTTTTTCCATCGAAATCCTTTTTTTTTATTACCAAATAGAAATAGTCAGTTTTTAATTTGAAAAAATAGAATAAATTTTGATGATTTTTTTTTTTGCAAAAAAAATCTTGCAAATCTTTTTGATACTTGTTTCAAGGTTGAACGAACCTTGAAGATTCGTATTTATCTTTCAATTTTGAGAAAATTAATTGACTCCCGAAGACGAAGATTTCAGATAAATTTAAATAAGCATATATTTGGAATTTTATCTTCAAAAAAAAGTCCAGCTGGTCAAAAGATCGTATTTTTTTTATGTCATAATACTATTAAGTCACGATAGTAAATTAACTTTTTTTAAAAAAAAAAAAAAAAAAAAAAGCAGAATTCCTTGAGAATACACATGTAATTAGGACATGCCTTAAGGTGTATGTAATTTATAAAAAAAAAATTGCAATAAAACATGAAAGTTTTAAATTTTCTAAAAAAAAAATATTAAGCTTATAAAATATTAAATGACAATTTTTCTTGAATATAGAAAAAAAAAACTTTTTTTAAAAACTGGGATTGTATAATGCAACTGTGGATTCTAAATACCACAATTCTAATGAAAGTACATATATGTGAATAGAAACTGTACGACCTCGACTCACTTTCGACATTTTGCACCTGAGTAATAAGTTCTCTTCTTTTTTGCATGACTGCTCACAAATTAGTCGAATAACAAAATGGGAGGGTCGCTTTCTTCTTGTGGACCTACAAATGCAGGCATATCTTTTTTTTTTTTTTTTTTATTATTATCATTTCTCTTAAAAACGATCACGTACAAGAAAGTCAAGCACTTGAGAATGGTAAACCGACAATTAGAGAAAAATAAACAAATTGTGGTTTCATGAGATTATTGTAGTGTTTGAGAAACAATCTTATGGAAATAATTGTTTTATAGTTTAATTTAAATTAATTCTCGTTTTCTTTTTTTTTTGTTACTGATTTTTATTTTATTTAATTATTATTTTTTATTATATTACTAATTTTTTTCCTTTTTTTAAATTATTTATTTATAATTCATTCATTGAAAGTGAACGTCGAATAATAATAATAAGTTTTCAAGAAAGTTGTTTTTAATAAAACAATAAATTTTCACGTGAAAGTAGAAAATATGGAATAAAAAAAAGATAACAAAAAAATTAATAAAACAAAAAATAAAAAAGACAAAACTGTGGTGACCATAATAATTTATTATTTTTTTATAAAAGCAAATGAAAATATAGATTGAAAATAGATTATAAAATAGATTGCATTTTTTTTGTAATAAATAAATTAATCGCCTTGTCGATAATTAATTAAAAAATGAATTTCTATTCGTAAATTTGTTTTTATGAATACATTTTTTTTCTATTGTGTTCCTTGGATTTACTAAGATTTATTGAAGTGGCATGATTTTAAATTCCAGACAAGAGCATTACACAGATGTTACTCGTTTTATTGGTTTGGAATACTAAACAATTTCAATTTTTGCCACTATAATACTTTATTGCATTACTACCGGATTGTCAGGAATTAATGTTTCGCTTTGTTATGCATGTTTGGTGCCATGCCAAATAAAATTTTTGTTTTTACGATTTTACTTGTATCACGTGTGTACAAATTTTTATGCATTTAAATGTAATTTAAATTTAAATCACAGTTTATTTCTAAATTACTTAATTCTATTTTTGTCTTCTTCATTATCCTTTACAGTTTTTAATTATTATTTTTTTGTTAAAGAAATTCGAAATCTCCTAATTAATAAGTTTTTTGTACTTTAAATTTATTTGAAAAATGAAAGTATAAAAATTACAGACATATAAATCTAACTTACCGACCGTTGGTAATTACCGACTGATGTTAAAAAAGTTTTTTTGAAAAATGAAAATATAAAAAATTACCGACACAGAAATCTACCTTACCGACCGTTGGTAATTACCGACTGATGTTAAAACAGTTTTTTGAAAAATGAATATATAAAAAATTACCGACACAGAAATCTACCTTACCGACCGTTGGTAATTACCGACTGATGGTAAAACAGTTTTTTTCGAAAAATGAAAATATAAAAAATTACCGACGTAGGAATCTACCTTACCGACTGTTGGTAAAACAGATTTTTTTGAAAAATGAAAATATAAAAAATTACCGACACAGAAATCTACCTTACCGACCGTTGGTAATTACCGACTGATGGTAAAACAGTTTTTTTGAAAAATGAAAATATAAAAAATTACCGACGTAGGAATCTACCTTACCGACTGATGGTAAAACAGTTTTTTTTGAAAAATGAAAATATAAAAAATTACCGACATAGGGATCTACCTTACCGACTGTTGGTAATTACCGACTGATGGTAATTTTTATTTTTCAAAAAATCTGTTTTATCATCAGTCGGTAGTTACCAACAGTCGGTAAGGTAGATCCCTATGTCGGTAATATTTATATTTTCATTGTTCAAAAAAACTGTTTTACCATCAGTCGGTAATTACCAACGGTCGGTAAGGTAGATTTCTGTGTCGGTAATTTTTTATATTTTCATTTTTCAAAAAATCTGTTTTACCAACAGTCGGTAAGGTAGATTCCTACGTCGGTAATTTTTTATATTTTCATTTTTCAAAAAATCTGTTTTACCATCAGTCGGGTAATTACCAACGGTCGGTAAGGTAGATTTCTATGTCGGTAATTTTTTATATTTTCATTTTTCAAAAAAAAACAGTTTTAACATCAGTCGGTAATTACCAACGGTCGGTAAGGTAGATTTCTGTGTCGGTAATTTTTTATATTTTCATTTTTCAAAAAAAAACTGTTTTACCTTAATTGTTAAACTACTTAGAAGTGTTAAATTAATTGTTTACATATTATTATTTTTATATATATTAGATTTATTTTTTCCATTGTGAACTTATTACAGTTTTTTACAAATTTTTTTTTTCGCAAACTTTCTGAAAAAAATGAATAAAAATTAATATTTTTATATAATTTATAATAAAGACGAATTACATGTTTATTTTTGTTTTGACCTGAGTTAATAAAACTTTCATTAACTCAAAATTCGTTGATTTAGTCACCTGTCATTGAGGTGAAATTTGTCACGTAGACAAATTTCTAGTTTTCGTATCGAGGACACGTAGTCAAATTTCCATGAATCAGAATAATCTTTTTCTAATATAGATAAATTACTTCGTTTAAATTGTTTCTATAATTGACAGTATTAAAAAAAATGTTTATAAATAATTAAAGGTAAAATTAAATTAAAGCCAAAATAGTTGTTTTTTTATAATTATAGAAATAGAAATATTTTTATAATATTTAGAATTGAAAGTATATCGTCAAACTTTCATTTAATTTATTTTCATGTAAATTCATATCACGTAAATTTACGTGTGAGTTAATGATTCCGCTTTACTCTATTCAATCGTGATGATGTGTTATATTTATTCACGTGACTGAAAATTTTATTAGTGATGAAATTATCTTAGATTTATAATCTTTTAATTTTCTTTTTCACGCCTTATTAATTAATAGACATGAATATTTTAATTTTCTCAGTTCAAGTTCAAGATTTATTTTTTTTTTTTATTTCAAAAATTGAATTAATTTCTGAATAATTTATTATTACTTTTTTTCAGATGTGATTAGAAAAAAACTTGAAATTCTATTGAAAGAAGGAACTCAAGTTCCGGCTGATGAAGATAAGGAAGATTTAGAATTACCTCCTTATTATGATGATAAAAAATTTAAATTTGCTCAAATTTGCTTTCACAATAATCTCTTTACAATGATGATAGCTAAACTCTCGGGACTTTTGACATTATTAGCAATACCATCAATTTTAGATATTCTTATATTTACTAAACAAAGTGGCACACCATGTGCAGCTTTTCGACGTTATTTTTCAACGATTCTACACACTTTCATATGGTATGAAAAGAATCCCCTCAAAGCAAAAGAGTATGTAAATTTTTTATTTATTAATAGTTATCAAAAATTTTATCAAGAAATTTCCGTATAAAAAAGACGATTTTATAGTAAACTTAAAAAGAAATGATAAAAATGTATTTGTTCTTTTTTTCCTGATAATTGAAATTTAAATTATATTCAGTTCATTTGAATCAATTTAATATTTTTATTCATTCACATGAACTATATTTTGCTACTAAGAATAAACGGGAAAAATTTTCTGAATCGATTGCAATTCACAAATTTTAATGACTTTTCTCAGAGTAATGAAAAATACTGTGAAAAATACAGTCAAAAATAAAATCAAAGAATTATATTTTAAAAAAAATCAAATTTTCGATAAAATAATAAAAATTGCAGTCCATTAATCTCACATCGTGTTGAAAAAATTTATAATCTTAAAATTAAGAGTAATAAAATTTGTTTCTTAAATTATAAATTTAAAAATTTAATTTAATTTTTACCTGTAATTACCTAATATTAATATTTACCTTTTCTTCAAGATTCTTTAATTCGTTGAGAACTGTGAGAAGAAAACATTGTTTAGCATCGCGAAAATGTTTTCAAGGTGGTCTCCGAAGAATAACTCAAACCGACATGGCAATCACACAATTTGGATTTATCGGTTTTACTTTAATGTCCGCTGAACAATTGGGTGTTAAGGCAACCGAAGAAGAACTCGAAGGAATTGTTCACTTTTGGCGCGTAATTGGTTATATGCTGGGAATGGAAGAAAAGTATTAAAACATTTTTTGAATAACATTTTTTTTTTATAAAAAATATTTTAATTATCTAATTTACGATTTTTTTTTCTCTTACCTTACAGATATAATCTTTGCAATGGAACTGTCGAGGAATGTCGAATTCTTTGTCGACTTCTTCTTAATGAAGTATTCATTCCACTTTTTGAGAAGGGAAATGAAAAATTTGACGAAATGGGACGAATTCTCATTGAAGCAATGTGGCCGTTCATTCCATTTTTAGATCCAAAAGCATTCACTTCTTTTACATTGCAACTTGCAATATCTGCGACAATCAATAATAATCATTCTATTGTCAATGGTATATAATTTAATATTCTATTTCTTCTGCTTTTTTTTTAATGTAATTTTAAAAAATATAACATTTTCATTTGGAGATTATTCATAATTATTAATTATTGTTATTAATAATTTAATTAATTAATAATTTAAAATTTGCAGAAACATCATCGCTGCCATTCAAGAGCAAATTATTATTGAATCTTCAATTGAATGTTCACAAATATTTGATGCCAACAAAACATTGGTGGTCAGCGATTTTTCGAGCAATTTTTAATTTTCTTCTGAGACTTGCAATTTTCCTCACAGAAAATTATCCCCTTTTACTATACACTACCTTTGGAAAAAAGGCGATCGTCAAATTCCATAATGAATGAATTCAAAATTAGAAGAAAAAAGAAAATCTGTTTTTTGATTTAAAAAAATTTTAATTAATTAAAGAAAAAGATACTTTTTCGTATAAAAAAAAGCTTTTTTTGGTTCGTAATAAATCGAATTAGTAAAAGAAAATTAGAATTAAGAATTAAGTAAAAGAATCTTAAATCTCTTTCAAAATAAAAGATACTCAACTTTTATTAAAAAAAATGTTTAAATAGGAAATTTTTTAAATTCTTTTTTGTTTTAATTAATTGAAAAGACATCTTTTTTAGGAGTGCAGTGGAGTTTTATAAAAAAAACGAATCGTGATCAAAAACCAAAATAATATTCCAAATCTTCACATAAAGTGAATTTATTAGATAATTTTTACACTTAAGTAAAGAAAAAAAAGGGGGGGGCGAGAATTATAATGCAATTCAATTATCATAAATTATTTGTTGTAAAATAATTTTCATTTTGTGTAAAACACTTAATTTATTGAATTATCATTTTAACTTTAAAGAAAAAAAATCATCGCATTGTAATTTATTATTTTTACCCTTTTTGCTTTAAATACTAGAAAAAATAAATTTCTATTGTTTTTTTTAAGAAATATAGAAATTTATTTTTAAATAAATTAAAAAGAAATAAAATAAAAATTTTTTAATTAAATTCAAAAATAAAGGAAATTTTAGTAAAAAAAAATGACGAATCATTTGTAAACAAGGTAATTGAAATTATTAGAAATTTTTTTTGTAAATGTATTAGCCTAATTAGGCATTAATTCGTAATTAGTTAAAATTAAGTAATACGCTATTTACTATTTTTAAAAATTAGTTCTAAGATGATATTGTAAAACAGTATGGCAAAAAATTTAGATTTAAATTAAGATTAAACAATAATAATTATCCCATCTATATTGTTTGCAATTGTTAGAATTTTATTTATAAATTCAAAAGAAAAATAAAATAAAATAAACGAACATCGATATGACAAGTGATTGAGTGTAAATTCAGTGTAAACTTTTTTTTGACACATGCCACATTATATCGATAGCAATAATTTTTAATTAATTTTTCTATAGTTAATAATATGTATAATTAATTAATTTCTCTTGAATTGAAACTAAGATTTGTCAATTAATATGGATTCCGGTAAGTTATTTGTAAAATTCAGTACTTTAAAAACATTTTTGTTTTGAAGTTAAAAATATTTTAATTATTAATTAAATTTATTTATTGTAATAATATTAAATTCAATTTATTTATAATAATTTTAATTTAATAATTAAAATTTTTCATTTTAATAGTAAGATATATTTTTTGTTTTGAATATTTTTTTTTAAGCGGAAGAAGATACGAAAATAAAAGTAAAAAAAAAATGTTTCCGCTAAAAAAAATATATATGTATTACTAAACCGGAATTGAGAAGTCGTGAGAAAATAAAGTTTGGTTGTGTTAATTTTTTTTTTTTAAATACACAATTCGCACATGGATTTTAGACACTTAAGAAAAAGTTAAAAAGAAATTCGTCATTCTTGTAATATGTGCTCGAAGAGACTGGTTTTGCATGCCACTGGGAATTAAGGTCATTCGCAAAGGCTAATTGCACGGTCATTATACCCGTATGTCTTTTTTTTTTAATTTTTTGCGGCAATTATCTCATTCTACAAGGATGACATTTGAGATCTGATATTTGTACGCAGGATATGGGGTCAAGTATATTCATATCAGTTAATTTATGGGCTTTGATATTCCACTTAATAATAAAAATAATAATAATAAACTATATTTTCGTTTAGAAATAAAAAATCGTGATTTTAGAGAGAAAAGCGGGACAATTTTTTTTTTTTTGCAATTTGTTTTTTGAATAAATAAATATTTTTAATTTCTGTTATTATTAGAATAATTATTATTAATAATTATCAAAATTTGATGAATTTTAAAAGAAGTAAAAGTATTTTCAATTAAATGAAAATTCTTGTAAATTATCTGTAACTATATTTAATTAAATTTGCTACTTACTGAGAAAAATATTTTCCAGGTGGCTGAATGGCGAACAACGAATTATGTTCTTGCACAGAGAATTCACCAAGAAATAATCAAATATTCTCCCAAACACCTTGTATTTTTTGTAATTGTGATTGGGAATCGAAAATTGGTCGCAGAATTGCTGTCAGTCTTGTACTTTTAGAGATTAAACGATTTTTCCTCTTGGCTTTAGAAATGATGATTGAACTTTCAGTTCTTCAATTTTCCGGAGCAATAAAATCAATTATTCTCAGCTTTGTCGATGTTGCTCTAGGAATTCCTTGTGCCCTTGCAGCAATTTCTTCAATTCGCAAGTATATCTATAATTATTTTTCAAAAAAAAATTTTTAATTTCATTTCTCAACAAAAATACAAAAAAAAAAATTATTTAAAATTAAAATTCAACTATTTCATAATAATGTAATTTAAAATATTTAAGAATAAAAAGGAAATGATTTTGAAACTAAATGAGGACAAAGTAATTTAGAAATAGAAAATTGGAAATTCTTTTTCTTTCTTTTTTTTTTAATACAATGGAAGTTCTTCTATTTCAGGCGCCAGGAACAACCACGTTATTCGAAAGTGAAAATTCTCTTGAAATGTGTGGTATTAATAATAGTTATATGTGCCATACTGAATATAGTGACCTTAGCCTCGATTGCCTATCATGTAAGCGTAAAACAAAGCACAATAAAGGGAATTTTTAATTTTTCAATGAATAATTATCTTAACGACAATTATTACAAATATAATTTGGATGAAATTCAATTTGAATTACAATGCTGTGGACATACGACTTATACTGATTGGTTTCTCCTCGATTGGAAGGTAAACCTCACGACTTATTAATAATTTTAATTTTTTTTATTCAATCTAAAATTTTGAAGACTATTGTAGAGTTTTTTTTTTATTAATAATTTTATGGAATATTAATAATTTAATTAATGAAATAGAATTCTTTTTGAAAAAATGAATTAATTTTTTCATTTCAATTTGATTTTTAACTTTTTTTCTGACAAAAAGAATTTTTTTCGCTTTTAAAATGAATTTTCAAAGGTAGTAAATAAATAATTTTCCCACGAAATTAATTAGAAATCAGATCATGTATCGCGCAAGAAGAAAAATAATAATCTACGGGCAATAAATTCAGATAAAGAGTTTAGGGATCGTGATGTGCCTTTCAGCTGCTGCAATATTCATTCTTTGCTGTCTTGTGTCAATATAAAAATGACAGAAGCAGATGTTAAAACAATTAACTCTCTTGGTTGTTCAAAAATATTGAGTTACATTCTCATCAGAATTGTCATTTTTGGTTATATAATGACAGCATTGGTTATCATCATCTACATCATTTTGCTTTATTTTATAATAAAAGTATAATAATTTTCTTTTCTACTTTATGAAATAAATATAATATTGGATAAACCAAAATTATTTTCACCTCTTTTTTAAAAATAAAATAATAATTATAATTTTTAATTATATTTTACCTCTTAATTCTTTTTGCAGATTACACGAAAACCTCTTCCACAGGATTGCCCTTCGGATTGTTCTTGTCTCTCCACCGAAAATAGTTCACCCAGATGTCCATTGTTGCTACAAAATTCTCCCTGTAGTTGTAGTTCCAGGTATTAAAAAAAAATTCTCTCTAAAAAAAAGAAAATGTAAAAATTTAATTTAAAAAAAAATTATACTTTATCAATTAATTTATATAATTATTATTTTCAGTTCAACGTCGCTTTCGGTAGGAAAAGAAATACCCTGTTCAAAAAATTCTTTTCAAACATTTAGAAAATCCTCATTTTATTGGCGCAATAATTCATTTAACAAAAGAAAAAGAATAACAACAAAAAAAAGTTCATACTCAAGTTACAGTGATGAAGAATCGTCAATGGAATATTATGTAAATCGTGAAATTGCCCAAATTAAGCCCAGTGTTCATAAACAGCATGAGATTTCTCAAAAATCATCAAAATCTTCAGTAATTTTGTCTAAAGTAGAATAAATTTTATTATTCAAGAAAACTTGACCTAGGAGAATAAAAATAAATCGAGAAAATAGAAAGTAAAAAAAAAAAAACTAAAGGACAATCAAAAACAAATATTTATTTCAAGATGAGGACTTATCGTTTCTTGAGGAAGGCTCTTCTCTTTTCTATCCTAATCTCTTTAGATAAGATAGCGTACGATCACGTATTAATAAACTTCAGATAAAAAAAAAAACACAATGATTAAAAAAAAAATCGTATTTTTCTTGTTACTTTCAACTTATGGGTGGTCGAAAAATTAGAAATTTCTTTTTTACCTCGTTTTTCATTGTTAAACACCCGTGTATATCAGGTTGCATACAAACAGGAAAATCTTCTCCAAAACATTGTTTTTTAAATTGAAATTTTTTTTCCATAAAAAGAATTTTTCAAAATAAAATTATTATTTAATTTTTTTTTTTTTTTTAGAAAGGAAAAAAGAAATATTTTTACAATTTTTCTATTTATCTAACTATATCTAAACGACCTACTTTTATGACGCTGCCAAAAAAACAGGTGGTAAGACGAAATTATTCACGTAATTTGTTGAAATTTCGTCGCGTTACATTATGACGTTTTCAAATCGACGATTGAGTGACGTCCTCATTGACGTCTAGAATTTAATTTTCAAAGAATAAAGTAATTCTTTACTAAAAATAGCATTTTCCAATTATTGCAAAAGAAAAGTATTTTCGAAAAAAAATTTCCTTATTTTTAAATTTCGTCCATTTCTAGTATTTTTTTCTTGAATTTAAAAAAAAAAAAATAAAAAAATTAACTACGAATTTAATTATAACAAAGAGAATGTTTAATGAAATGTTATATCAGTTTTTGAATGAATTGAGAAATGACTTAATTGGATGCAATTTGCAATGTAAGACCAAAATTATTATCCATTTAAAATTCATTAAAAAATATTGTCAGTCATTTGTTAATAATACAAAACCGGATATAAACAAATTTTCACGAAATTGTTTTGACAAGTGCGTGTTCCTTGTCATTTATTTGTTCAAGTTAACAACAACTTTCCCTGAATAATAAATGATACTCGGAAATCTTTTATCTTATTTTTATGGTAAGAAGAAAAAGAAAAAAAAAAAAGCCGGATAAATTCCAAGAAACAATTTTCCCCGTTAATTTATAGTTTTTTGTTTGGATTTTTCTTGTAAAAAAAAAGAAAATTATTGATAAATTTTCGTTTTTTTTATTTGTTCGTATTTTTTTTTTTGAAAATGAATTCACAAGCTAAGTAAAATGATACACTCTCGGTGCTTTTAGACGAGTCTGACCCGGCTTGTAATAGAACGACCGCGTTGCGCTTTGCATTTCTGGCGTTCCAGTCGTTGACACGAAAACAAAAACAAAAAAAAAAATTAAATATTTAGAACAGGTCGCGATTAATGTGACAAAAATAGTTTGTACAGTTTAGAATTTTTTTTCCAAAATTCAGTACTCGAAATGTTTCACTTTTCAATTTTAAAAAATTAATTTCAATTTCAAATATTAATAATTTTTAAATCTATAGTTTTTTTTATACAATTTTTCTATATTCTATAAGTAAATAAATAAATATAGTTTTATATAAAATAATAAAAAAAAAAAACCAACAAATTTTTTTTTTTTTTTGATTTTTCGTTTATGCGAAATAAAAATTGTTTTTTTCTCGCGAACAAAATCTTTTGAAAGTTCCTTTGTTCTTACCTAGTTAGCTTATTTAGAATTACCGAGAGTCATTTGAATTTTGCGATTATTATTATTTTTTTTTTTAAATATTCAAAGAGACTGTAATTTAAAGTAATTTTCGTGAGTTGAACGCATAAAAGAACTTTCGAGCGCTAGCCAGTCGATCTTGAATTTATGAGTTTCACCGGGAGTGTAAATCCGCACAAGGACAAAAGCTATCTTGTAATTTACACGAAACCTTTCTCATCTTTTTTTTTTTCAATGTCAAACTTTTTGAACAAAGTAACTTTTCTTTTTTTTACAAGATTCATCTTAAATAAAAAAAAAAAAAAAAATTCGCAAAACAAATAAAATTCTGAATCGAAATTTAAAAAAAGAAAATTTCAATTTATTTCAATTATAATTTATAAATTAAATTATTTTGAATTTTCCGCGAGCAAAAAATAAATAAATTTTTCCAAAATTTTAATTTTGGGAATTCTTTCTTTTCTTTTTCTGAAAATACTTTTCTCTTAGGAATAGTTTCAATTTGGAACAATAATTTCATTTTGAAAAATATTTTCCTTTGGAAAATAATTTGTTTTGAAAAATAGTTTTAATTTGAAAAATACTTTTTTTTTTGGAAGATAGTTAAATAATTTGACTTTTGAAAATACTTTCCTTTAGTAAATATTTAAAATTTGAAAAATTGTTTTAATTTGAATAATGCTTTCTTTGGAAAGTAGTTTTAATTTTAAATTAATTTTAGTTTCAAAAATACTTTCCAATATTTTCAATTTGAAAAATAGTTTCAATTTGAATAAAGCTTTCTTTGGCAAATAGTTTTAATTTTTAAATAAATTAATTTATAAAAATATTTTCTAAAAGAAAATATTGTCATTTTGGAGAATAAATTCTTTTTGAAAATAGTTTCCTTTGAAAAATTCTTTCTTAAATACCTTCTTTTTGGATAAAATTGGCATTTTTTATAAAATAGTTTCCTTAAAAAATTTACTTTCATTTGAAAATTAGGAGTTTAGTCTTAAAAAAAAAATCAAATTTTTTTCTCTTCTCTCTCACTGTATTTTCTGTTTCATATCGAAAATTTTTTTCTTTCGTTTTGATGTTTCCGCTGTAAAATATTTCATGAATAGGAAAAAAATGATTGTATGATGAATTATCACAACTCTGTGGGATTTTCCTGGATTTTTCTATCATTTTTCTTTTTCAAAGATATATAATTCAGAGTAAGAATCAGACTTTCCCAAGAGAATATATAATTGTCGGTTGGTTTCGGTATCCCTCGGTTTGTCATTCGTCAAGTCGTGAGCTTGGCGCTCTATTCGATTTGTTCGCGCTGTTTGAAACTTGAGAGAGTTGAGAGAACTGGAGTCACATATGTATATGGCACAAACACAAACTGGCGGCTCTGGTTTGGCAGTCAGTTCTTGGTCGTTCGTCGCCGAGTCGACAAGCATAGTATGTGCCCATCAGTTCATAACAATTATTTGATTCACCATCAACCCCATAATAAATTAGTCTCTTACGGTTATAGTTAGGGGGTTATCAAATTTTTAAATCTCAATTTCGCGCGTGTGTGTCTGTGTGTGTGAGAGAGAGACCCCCCCCCAAATATTTTTCTAGTCCATTTATCGAGATTTTCTTTCTTTTTTTTTTCGAAAATTTTCTTTTAGAGATACTTAACAATAAATCATTTCCCAGTGATAGTATGCTATTTTACTGGATATTCTAGTGCAAAGTGCGCTTATTTTTTTTTTATTTAATTATTTTGTGTCGTGAAAACTAGAGAAAAAAAAAATAGAAAGCTGAATCGAGGATTATAAACAGGAGAGAGAAGAGACTGAGAATAATAAGGAAACGAACTGATGAAGAATTACTGAAGATAAACGGAAAAATATTTTTAAAGTCGATTTAAGGAAAACTAATTAACATTTTGAAACTGATCTGAAGAATTTAAAAAAAAAAAATTCGACATTTAGAATATTCCTAAGGATTATTTTTTGTTTTCTTTGGGAAAATTTTGAGAAATAAAAAAAAAATGAGTTGTACTACCGCACCAATAACTCCAACGAAGATGTGTGAGACTCTTGTCAGCCAATGCGAGATACCGATCATCGACCTCGCACACGTGGGTAAGTAGGTGTCCAAGTAATGCCAATTTGTTAATAATAAGGGCGAGGAAAATTTTTTTCTTTGTCCTCAGACCAAGGATTGTTGTTATTCTTATTTCTGAAAAATGAAGAAAAATATTAATTATCACTTAAAAACTCATTAATTTTCGATATACATTGTATGAATAGAATTTAGGAAAAAAAAAAAAGTAATTTCCCCAATATTTTACAAAAGAAAAATAAAGAGGATCTTGTAAGAAAAATAATTATTGCTTCAATAGAGAAATTCTTATGAATGTTAATTAGATTCAGTTAATTAAAATTTAATCATAAATATTTTAGTCATTCGCATAAATGCAACTAATTTTTAAAAGAATTCATTTAATATTCATTTAAATGATAAATTGAATAATTGTCCCAATTGTTTATGTAATTATTACTAAATTATTATGTAATTTATGTAGTATAATTATTATTATTTTATTTTTATTTTTTTTTCAAATAATCGAGAAGAATGTTTGGAAAATTAAAAATGTTAATGAAATCATGGTTGTTTCACTATTATATCGAGCGTGGAATATAGTATTCAGCACTTGGCAAGCGAATCACTTTATGGATGTGTTTTTTTTTATTTTATTTTATAGCCAATTAAATGAATATTCTAGAAACTGGAGGTGAGTTTTTGCTTTAGATAATCGCAGTTTACCAAGAGGAAAATCGATTCATGACGTTTTAATGAATAGAAAATTGAATTTTTCGAAAAACAAAAAGAAAACGCTCAATTCTTCTCTGTTTAGATATTTTTTTTTCTTTCTTTCCCATGGAGAGATGAATCTACCCGCCTTTGATGTACAACTGTTATAAAATTACATAATAAAATTGTGCAATGATTTATTTTCAAACTCACTGCTATTTATAATTTCCATTGTCTCGTTTTTTTATTATGTTTTCATTTTTTTTCTAACGCATACAATTTAAATAAATCAATTTTTGAACAGTAAGTCAAATAATTTTTTTTTTAAAGAATAAATAATATTTATTTATTGAATAAATTCAATTTAGAGTAAAGGTGAATAATTTTTCTTTTTCTTTTGAAATTTCAAGTTATACGCTATACTGTCAGGGAAGGTAGAATTTTCTTTTCCGGTCTTATACCTATATATATATATACATGTGTACAAGGATTCTTATTCTTATTTCTTAAGAAACGTAGGTCGTATTGCTTGCAACTTAACTTGACTATAGGTTGGACTGTGACGAAATTGACAATGCAAAAATCGTAACCGAGGCCTTTCGAAATGACGAGCAGCCAATCATTTCAAGGCAAAACTGGTGGCTTATTATTGTGGGGAAACTTTACAGAAGATTTATTCGTTATTGATAATATTAAGAGGCGAAAAGTCACGAGACTCATTCTAAATATGTCCTCGTCTGGAAATTTCTCTTTTCCTATATTTAATTTCACAAAATGATCAATTTTACAACTTGACATTTATTTAAAGAGAAAAAAAAGAATGGTTTACAAATTTTTTCATAAAAAAAAAAAACACAAATTTTGTCTCAAAAGGAAAGAATTTGAATATTAAAAAAGAAGTTCTGAATGAAAAGCTTATTTCTACAATAGATTTTTTTCTCTTGACATTGTTTTGAATCGTGACGTGAAGATACGAAGTAACGTAATCGTTACATAATTTTTATAACAGCTGAGCAACGATTGTTATTATTTTAATACTAAATTGTTTTTACGTTAATTACGATTTTTATGCTTTGTTATATTATATTTGTTTTCCGATTGTAGCAAACGAAAAATACTACTAAAAGTAGTCAATTTTGAAAATTAAATAATTTTTATCTAAATAATAATTGAAAAATAATTAAAATACTAAATAAATTGAATTAGAAAATGAAAATTCGAAAATTCTTTCTAAACAAAAATTATTAATAGAACAATTGTTATTGCTTTAAAAATCAAACAAATAAAACATAAAATTGAGCCGTAAAAATTCGTGTAAAGTGATTAAAAAAAAAAATTGACTAGCCTATAAAACATGAGATTTGAAAAAAAAATTCTTTGCTGATGATTTAATGAATTTGAAATAAAATTTAAAGTATTTTTTCAATATATGAATTTAAACCCCAAAAAAATAAAGATTCCCGAATTATACAATATTCAATATTAATACGTAAGCAGATATTTAAATATATATATATATATAGAAATAAGAAAATTTACGTAATCTTTCTCTCTTTCATTACCGAATCAACACATAAGCTCATGAATGAATCATCTAAGTGGGAAAAAAATATATGTTAATTTTTTATAGCAAAAAAAAAAAATCATTATATTAACAATAATTAGTTAAAAATTTCTCATTGTAAAACGTGAGACGCAAATCAAACAAATCCCATTATCATGATCAATGATATATAAATGATAATAAATTTATCGAGGAAAAAAAAATTGAAACTGAAATCATTTTTTGTAGAAAAATAAAAGTTTCTCAATAAACGATTAAAAAAAAAAAATAATTAAAAACATTGTTAATTAGAAACAATAAATTAATTTTATTTATAAAAGAAAAAAATAGTAAATTCTTATTTTCTTTGCGAGAAAATTAGTTTTATTCCGGAAAATACTTTTTTTTAGAGAAAATGCAAAACAAATAAAATTTGGAGGCCTGTGAACTTTTTGGACCATTTAAAAGAACAAATTCGAAAAACTTCAATTTTTGTCAAAAGGAAAAGAAAAAGAGTATGTGATTAAGAAAAATATATAAAACGAAGACTTGGTTGTTCGGCAGAGAATTTAGTTTTAGCTTTGGGGTTTTAGGTTTACTTTTTTTTTTTTTTTTTTTTTTTTGCTCCGAGGATGGAGAGAAGAGACGCCGCCGACGCGACCGTCGGTTGCTTGGCAACGAGTAGCACGATACGAGGTCAGGCGCCTGGGCGCGGGGCCCGACGTCCGTTGAGGTCAGAGCCCCTTCTTTACAAAGGGCCCCACCCTGCTTCCCTACCCTCAACGACGATGAACCATCTACAATATAGAGAGAATATATAGAATACATATACATACAGGGTGTCTCGTCAGAAGTGCCGAGTGACACCTGCTGAGGCTCCCAGCAGCTTCCAGTTTCAGTTTACCGCTTTTCACTTCTCTCCCTTATTGTGCACACAATGTACGTCAACCAATCCTCCGTTGCCCCAGGTTAGGACGTTGCGAAACATATTATTCCCTCTTTCATTACATGAGAGAAAGAGAGAGAAAGAGAGAGTCCCAACCCTTTCGACTTTAGTTTCGCCTCTCCGATTTCCACTCACATTACTTTTACGTTTGTCCTATTTTTCCAATTTGATATTATCTGCCAAAAAAAAAAGTTGCAAAATTATTATATTTTAATTTACATAAACTAGAATAATTATTTATTTATTTAGTACAATTTTTATTTTACACAATTTTTTATTTGAAAAAAAAAACCCGTATGACTAAATTAAAATTCAGTATTCTTTTAAATAAAAATTTGGTTAAAAAGAAATTCTGTTAAATGCTACATTGTAAAATTACAATTCGTCTTAAAAAGTAATAAGAAGAATAAGAAATATTTTATATTATACAATTTTTAAACGAAACTTTTGTAAAGAAAATATATGACTTCCACGAGGAAGTGATTTTTCAAGAAAAGAAAAAGATTGTGTACAAAAGAAATATTTCTACAATTCAATAAATTCCTAGAAAGAAATCATTTTATTTATTAGTATAGTATTATTTATAAAAATGAAAATCGATTGAATCGTTTCGCATTTAGAAAACTAACAGAAAAAAAAAATCGGTGCCTAGACAAAATTTGTTTTGTAAAAGCGTTAATTTGACAAAATTTTGTTTTCGTTGATAATGACGCCTTGAAATCGGCGCCTTTGGCGTCTAGACTCATTTTCTCTCAAACAATATGAGTAATCAAGACTGCAAATGAACATTAAATTTTTGTAATCATACAATCAGTCTCTTATTGTGACACGATTTTTTTTTTTCATTATTGATTTTCCGGAAACTCGAAAAAATAATTATCATTTAAATTTTTCTTCTACTCTTCTATAAAATGAAATTAAATTTTATCTTTTAAAATTTTTACTATACAATTAATTTCTAAATTAATTCTTCTGAGTTTAATTTAAAAAAAAATCACTTGAAAAAATATTCGAGACGTTAGAAAAGATTTTTTTATATTAATTTTCATATTCCAAAAGGTTAAAAAGCGATTACAAATTCAGAATTGAAATTCCCATGATGCCTGATAGCTGGTTCTTTATAATCACTGAGAGCATTTTATTTTCTAGAAATAACCGGTTATTACTGGAAATCTTATATGATTTTCTTGAATTTATAATATAAAAGTATTTAATTATCCCTTATAAAAAAAAAATCCTAGTCCCATAAAATGATTCGAAAAAGGAAGATTGATCAAAAAACTCAAAAGAAACAATTTCTAGTTTCAATCATTAGTTATCTAAAAATTTAAAACGTCTCTTAATAGGAAAAATAGAAAAAAAAAATTTTGAAATAGATTTTTAGATCAGAATAGTAAAATTTCTTTTCAACTCGCAAGTATATTTAAAAATCAAAAGATTCTGGCTTAATGCCCAAAAGGGGGCGATTCTTTTGCGAGAAATCGTATACGCCAATTTATTCAATCTTATAATTTGTTAGTGGACGCGCGCGCGCACGAATAAATAAAAAAAAAAGAGAATTATAATGAGAAAGAGAGACTTAAATCATCGTCTTCTCTTGGCACAAAGTGTTTTAGATATATTTCATTCCAACACGACGTGTAACGCGTGTATATGTATATAGAAAACTTCACCACGGACGTTTGAAAATTATTCCAACCTTCGCTCTTTTTCCTTGTAAAATACAGAAATTATTATTAAAAAATTTACCGTTGTTCAATTTTTACAAAATTCACATGAATTCAAAACATTTCTCTCAAAATTTATCGTTTCCTTTTTTGACAGAGAAAAAAAAATCGTTTCTATTTAAGAAAATTCTTTCCTTTGTGATAAGAGTTGTGCGTTTTCAATTTTTTTCTAATTTTTCAAAATTGTGTCGGTTTTTTTTTAAAAAAAACTATTTTTTTTTGAATTAAAAAACAATATTTTACGAATTTTCGATTTCTAATAGAAAAAGAGACTTTATCTTTATCCGCGATGATGTCAAAAAATTATTCGAAAGGCATTGGTCCGAGGTCAAGACGTCATCAAACAACATTTTATACATTCGTCTGATACGCAAACGATCGCGATTCGCATGATACGTGCTCAAAGTTTCAATGAAAAAAAATATTTAAAAAAAAAAATATATATATATTCTATTCCTGAGCTTCCGTTCTTTTTATTTTTTGCGCTATGTTCAAAAATAAAAAATTATCTTCTCTCCCCACACGAATATACATATATATAATATACAAATATAAGTTCCGAATGAAAGTATATTTTGACTCCATGTGGACAAGGAAATATTTTCAATCTTCGCCGAATAGGAATTTATTTACGTCCCCCTTAAAATATAAAAATGAAAATACGATTAAAAAAAAGAAAAACTCACCAAGATGCTGTGAAACTTGAATTTTGCGAAATTTTTCTATTTTTAAATGATAATTATTCTTCTTGAAAAAAATTTTTATACTTCTTTTTTATTCTGTGCCATCTCTTTTCTTTTTTTCTCATTGAAAATTAATTTTTTATCCCATCACGGTAAAGCTCCTTTGAATTTCACCTGTAATTGTAAAAATACAATTAGTCAACTTATTTAATTTCTATTTAGACTGAAAAAATTTCATTTTCAAGAGTTACTAATCACTTTTTAGAATTTTTTTTAGACAAATTTTCAATTTTTCAAATTATCATTTCACAAAATTACTTTTTATCTATCGATTTTTTGTTCGGTCATTTATAATATCGGACAAATGAAAATTCGGCTTCTTAAAAATTCGTATAAATAAAAATTCGGACAAATTAAAATTCGATGAATTGAAATTTATGTCATTTAAAAATTCGCTTAAATTAAAATTATTTTAAATAAAAAACTATGTAAAAAAAAATGACTGTAAAATAAAAATTCTACCAAATTTCGTATAGCTAAAAATTTTGTTAATTAAAAATTCGTATAAAAAGAAATTCTGTCAATTTGCAAATTCAAAAAATATTTTGTCTTAAATATAATTATTTCTAATAGAAAACCAAAAAAATAAAAATTCTAATTTAATGATTTTTATGGGAAATTTGCCTCTTTATGCCAAAAGGCAAGAATTATGTATCTATAAAAAAAAAATTATTTAATAATTTATAAAGTGAAAAAAAAATATTTTTTTCGAAATAAAGAAGAGAAAAGCTTGACGAATCGGAATGTTGGAAGTTAATTTCGAGATAATTAGAAAATCAGTTAGTTTTATGAGATCAGTGATCATATATATATATGTGTGTGTATCATAAATAATGTGGATTTACATAGTTGCAGCTGGAGTGTCGCCCTGTGTGTAGGCTGACACAGGAAATGCCTCCTTTTGCTCATATTTTATTTTTTTTTTTTTTGTTCCATTTTTCTTTTTCCTCTCTCATTCTCTTTCTCTCTCATCCAGCATAACACAGAATTTTTCGTGGTTGAATTACGCACACATTTTATCGCGAATGCACATGCAAATGCATATGTATCTTGTTTTTTTTTTTTTTTTTGCGTGATTATATTCGTCATTGTATATAGTCCAACATTATGCACGCATTGCTGATCTGGCAGCACGTGTCATATCTCTCGTGTGGGTATCTAGACATAGAAAAAGGTTTTCTTACTCATTTCATTTTTTTTTTGGCCAACTCGAAGTAAACACAAAATACGTCCCACAGAGTCTTTCAAAAAAAAAATTATTATTATCGAAAAGAATTTACTTGGTTTTTAATTTCCTTTCAATATATTAATATTATTAGCCTTTTTTTGGTAAAATTCTATTATTTTGATTTTTGTAAATAAATTTAAAAACTGCAGTTTTTTTTCATAATTTCAAAATTGTAAAAATTTCGATTTATTATCATATTTACAATCATAAATCTTTGAATTTTTCTTTATCTGAATATTTTTTTACGGCGTAGAAAATATCGAGTGGAAAACAATAATAATTATATTTATTTCACACAAATATTGCGAAAGAGAATATATCGTCTTTTTGCGGTTTTTTTCTTCGCGTGAAAAATAAAAATTCCTGCTATATAGAGAGAAAAATATCAGTACTGACTTACAATTTGTGTATGTATGAGAAACTAGTTTTTTTTTTTGTTGTGTTAATTCGAGATCCTTTTCGTGATAGTGGTGTACATGCATTGCTAATTAGACGCGTGAAACGATTAAGTGTCGTTTAGTCGCGAGGAAGTTACTCGCGTCCCTGAAATTCAAATGTTAGAATATAATTATTCTTTTTTTGTTTGCCTTTTTCTAATATAAAAACTCTTGTGATTAAAAAAAACGATTTTTATTTTTCCTTTTGAGATTATCTTTTTCACCCCAGGCGGTTTAACAACTTTTATAAAGACTCGCGCGCTCAGTTAAGATTCAGGTTTCTTTTTTTTTTTTTTTTTTTTTGAAACAGGTCATTGCCCGAAATTTCGTCACTTTAATTTCCGTATTTTTAATTTGAATTGAAAATTTTTTTTTTCATTTCATTGACACTGAATTATTTTGATTTTATGAAAATAGATTTATTTTATTATATTGAAAATCAAGTGAGTTTGGTTAACCGACTTTCAAAACACGAGCAGGAAACGCCTTATCGCGCCTGACACACATGAAACGGGTTTATAAACGTCTCTCCTTATCTTCATTTTATAAATTGAATTTTTAGCGAATAAATTGTTGACGTAAATGATCTAATTTTTTTTTATACAAAATTATATATAACAATTTGAAAAACTAATTTTATTGTTGATTATTAAAAAAAAAATATTGTGATAACTTTCAAATATTATTCTTTTGGAAAGAAATTATCTCATATCTTGAGACCTTCAACTCACTTCATACAATAAGTGATGGACAAGAAACACCTGGACTTTGACTTGTGATATATGTTTTCTTTCAAATTTCTCTTGAAACTTTCATTTTACTCGTGTGAATTATTCCGAAATTTATTTTTTTTTTTTCAATTGAAACTTTACTTTCTGGATTATCGCACATTTCTCTTCATTAATGTTTTATTTCTTTTCTTTTTATCAAATCTTAAAAAAACAAATTTTAAAATTATTTTTTATCAAAAAAAAGAAAAAATTTAATCTCTTTTTCCAAACAATTATTTTTAATTTTTAGTAAAAGCGAAATTATAAATATAAAATTGACGATATTTAAAAAAAAATATTATCTTAACATTTTTTATTGAAAACAAAACATGCGATAATTGTATCTATGTAAAAGATTATTAATTTTATATTAGTTATCTAATTTTTCCTAATTATATAAATATATATATATATATAGAATTGTATTTGGCAATTTGATACGCTTATGATCAACTCTTCTTTCTCAAGATCATTTTGCTGATATCTCATTACAATTATTTATTACACTTCGTTCTAGATTTCATTTTAAAAAATCGAGATAAAAAGAAAAATTATAATCACGTCGTCTAGTTACACGATTTTTTAAAATTATTATTTTAAAAATAAAATTTTATTTAAAAAAAAATGTATTTTACTGAGAAATTTTCTTTTTTACAGCGAATTAAAAAAAACGAAATATAAAAAATTTTATGTAATATATACTATATCGTTGATCTTGAATGTATATATATGTATTTCCGTTAATCGTAAATTCAAAGGCGTGATTGTTAAAGTATTTTTTCTGATTGGAACCCGTGAGTTGAAAAATTATGTGTGTCACGGAATTCCGCTATTGTGAAAAAACACGTGTCAATTGCAAACGTGTTGCTGGTGACAATTCGCGTAAAACTATTTCGATTGAAAAATTTGTAGAAAAAAATTCATTTTTTCTAAAAGCGCGATTGAAAAAAAATATTTTTATCAAAAACAATTTTTTTTTTTACATAATAAAATTATTTTCCCAAAAAAAAAACAGAAATTAATTTATCAAACTGAAAATTGGCTTCGAAAAAAAAAAATTTCATCTTGAAAAATTGATCTCCTTGAATTTGAACTTGAGTCAAAATCCCTTCTAAAAAAATTTTTTGTTGATTTATCTCAATCCTTCAAAAAGATAAAAATTTAACCTTCAAACTATTTTCAAAAGTATTTCTTTTAAAAATTATATTTTTAAATTATCCAAAAAGATTTTTTTTTTTTTTTCGAAAAATATATCGTATTTTGAATTGAGTTATTTCTGAATAGAAAAATAGTTATTTTGAAAAAGTAATTTTCGTGAGGAAAAAAAAACCGAAATATGTAATTTGAAAAGAATTTACAAAAGGTTTATTGTTACAATTATTAGGCAATCAAATGATTGGGTTTTTTTGATTGATGATAAACGACAAATGGAATTAATGATTTTGTCATTTGACAGCCGATATTAACGTCATTAGATTTATAACAGTTCAAACAAACAAAACAAGATATATAGAAAAAAAAAAGAAACAACTTATTAAAATTCTCCCTCTATATAGAGAAAATATTTGATTAATTAAAAAGTCAACCTTGATGTCATAAATCGAAGAATGTTGATTAAAAACAATTAAAAATTATTCTATACAGTTACTCATCTATTATAAAGAATAAAGATCTCGTGATTATATTAGAATTCATGAAGATAAACAAAAAATTATTATCGATAAAGTTAATTAAATTATTATCTTTTTATGGATATTTTTCTATCAACAAAATCTCACCTTTATAATCAAGGACAAAATAATTTCTCATTCTCTATTAGGGAACTAATTAAAATAATTAAATTTATCCAAAAAAAGAAATAATTTATGAAAATAGGTCAAAGATATATATATATATATAAATAATATTCTAAATTGCGAATTGATTCTTGAAAATCAAGATAATTGATTATTTGAAAAATATTTTCATTATAATGCGGCGAAACACTTGAATTCTACTCAATCACTATTCATTCACAAAAGAGAAAGACTGAGGACAATTTTGAGGGGGACTTGTGCCGAAAATAAATGTGTAATTTGCAATTCAGACCGATGAGTAATCCTAGACTCGCAAAATAGCACAAAGTGAGAGTGGGACAAGAAGTCGAATTAAAGAAAGTATGTGGAGAGGGAGAGTAGGTCAAAATAAAACATAACGACACTCTCAAAAAAAAAAGGATTGGATTACAATTATCAAATTTTCCTCTTATTCATTATTTTTGATTAAGATAATATCAGCAAAAAAAAAATTACAATCAACATTCAAAGAAAAAATCAAATATTTTCCAAAATACAAAACTTATTTAAAAAATTTTTTTACATGAAAATATTTTTTAATTTTTTTATTTATTTTTAATTTTTTTTCCAATGAGAATTTTTCAATTCAATTAGTTTTGCCGCAAGCAATTTTCAATTTCGATTTTAATTAACTGATGATTTGAAATATCTAATGAAATTTATTTATTGTCTCAATCTTGTTTTGAGTAAACAATCAAATCACTTCCGTATATTTTGTATAATGAACATCTTAATTGTATTTTGATTTTGGGTTCAAGGCACTTGAAAGAATTCCGAGTCATTTTTAATTATCTTCCATTACTTTTGAAAAATTTTAAGAATTTTTTTTTAAATTTAAACAATAAAGAGAAAAAATAATGTATAATTAACTAATTAATTAAAATCTAATAATATTTAAAACATTTAATTAATTATTAATTACAATTAAAGATTTTTATTTATCTCAAATGGAAATTTTCAAAATCAAATCAATAATGTAAAGAATGTTTCTAAATGAAAAAAAAAACTGATTACAATTTGTGAGAGAATACATCAACAAAAAAATGTCTGTTGTTAAATTACTTTGCCTTGTTCTTGTATCAGTTTAGTTATAGACATAGAAATGACATATATATATATTATATCGCGCAACAATAGCGTCAAGAATACTTGGCGTTCTTTAATGACTTCAAAATTTCGCCATCAAAGAAAAGTTGAAGGCTCTTTTAATCGAAAAAAATTATTTTCCTTCACGAGAATTGACAATTCTTAATCCCCCCCTCAAATAATTTATAAATTCAAATCAGAAACAATTTATAGAGATTTCAAAATATCTTTCAACTTATTTTATTTTTGATTCTATTTGTAAATATCAATTTTTTTTCTCCCCATCAATTATTAATCGAGTCTGAGTAATTCAAAACAAAAATTTCATAATAATTTCCTTCACGTGGCAAAATTATTGACAAAACATGTTTTTGTTTTGATTATCATTACTTTTTTTTTAATACAAATTTTAATTGAATTTAAAAAAAAATTTAATAATTATTAAAAATGAAAATCGATTTTCAAAATGTAATGGAAGATACAAACTAAAATGATTAGAAAAAAAATTAACTAACAATAAGGAGAAAATAAGGTAATTAAATTAAATTTTCAAATTGAACGGCCTTTAATCTATATGATTGAATTAAAAAATCACTTTTGGCCACTCGCCTTCGAGGACAAATGCAAGATGACTCTGATTTCACAATGAGGTTGCACGGAAGAGAAAAGAGAACACGATACAACAGAAATAGCAAACAAAGGAGGAAAACAAAGCAAGAAAAAAAAAAAATTCACAAACGTGTTAAAATGACACGATCAAATACTTCCGCAAATTAAGCAAAAGTATATTTACTTGTCCTGTCTCTTTTTATAAATTTCGAGAAAATTTATCCAAGTGGAAATTTTTCCGTAAAATAAATAATAAGATTCTTTTCAAATAAGAGATTTTAAGTGTCAATTTTGAAAAAAAAAAAAACGATTTTTAACTTTAATTTGATAGTAGAAAGAAGAAGTTGAAATAATCATATTGCCCGTTTCATTTATTATATATAGGAGTATTCTAACAGCAGAGTCTATTATTATCGAATCGCGTTCATATACGTATAGTAAATGTTTCTATTCAAGAACGAATCTCGTCCTACGCATATCTGTCTACTCGGTGTCTACCACGAGCCTATCTGTGCCAGTATAACTATAAATATAAATATATAAAGACTCCTCTCAATTAAATAAAAAAAAAAATCTTTAAGGATCAATTTTCAACTGAAATTCCATCTTCAAATAACGTTATTTCAATTGTAAATTTTTTTCTCATCAAAGCCAAATTTTCGAAAAAAAAAGTATTTTTCAAATTTAAACTATTTTTTCAAAAGAATTTTTTTAAAAATTAAAATTATATTAAAATGAAATTTTTTTGCCAAATAAAATTATTTTCCAAAGGAAACTATTTTCCAACGAAAAGTATTTTTAAAATTTTAACTATTTTCCAAAGGAAACTATTTTCCAAAATGAAACTATTTTCCAACGAAAAGTATTTTTAAAATTTTAACTATTTTCCAAAGGAAATTATTTTCTAAAATGAAACTATATCCCAAAAGAAAGTATTTTTTCAAACGAAACTATTTTTGAAAAGTATTTTCAAAATAAAACAATTTTCCAAATTAATTGTATCAGTTTCCATTTAAACGCTAAAAAAATTTTTAAATTGTAATTTATAATATTCTAAACAGTTATTCAACAATTACAAAACTAAAAAAGTTAAAAAAAAAAAAAAAAATTCCTAACTTTTAACACCTTGACAAAAAACAAATATTGTCTTACATTTGAAACAAATAATAAATTTATTTGCTTAATAATCATAACCAGAAGTTTTATACATATAGTTAAGATATCTTAACTATATAAAAAGTGACTTGTTTTCCTCTGTTATAAAACTGAAAAACATGATAATTTATTATAACAGAATTTATTTTTTAGTTAAATATATTCTATTAGTTAAACAAAATTTGACGATGACAAATTTTTTTACACTGAATGATAAGAAATCACAAAGATAAATTATTTCAATTTCCTCCGATACGAATCATACATAAGGAATCTGTAATTCCATGAAAATGATAATATTTCATATGACTATTTTTTTAAAGTCAATATCAATAAAATTGTCACTAAGACAGGTAATAAATAATTCAGTTTAAAAAAAATTAAAATAGTAAATTTTGTAAATCATTAATAATTTATGTCTACATTGTATTTTTTTTGAAAACTCTTATAGTAGTTTCATTTTTGGAAAATAATTTTCAAAGTAAAAAATTCATTTTTAGAAAATAATTTTAAAAATATTTTTATAGAAAATACTGTTCCACTTTTTGGAAATTTTAAATAAAAATGTCTCACGTAATATGTAAATAGGAAAACTTTTGTTTTTCTTTTAGAGGGTATTTGTGATTTTTGTTTTTAAAAAATTGTCAGTAATGAGAAACGACATATAAAGAAGACTATAAATGCAAGTAACTTACCTCTTTTGTTTTTTTTGTCCGTTTCAGGAACGGAAAGGTGTCCTCAGAAAGCAGTAGTGAAGCAGGTTGGCACGAAGCTGGTACAAGCTATTTCTGAAAAGGGACTGGCCCTTCTTGTGAACCATGGAATTCCTGACTGCAAGGTAACAACTTGAATACTTAAAAAGTTGTATACAATCTCCGTGCGCGATCCTTTCGTATATATTTCATCCGTCTTTTGATTTTCTTTCAAATATTCATCAAAAATTTCCCTGCAGCTTTCAATTTTCTCAACTCCATTCAGAGAGATTCTGTAAAACGAAAAAAAATATTAGTTCACTGTATTAAAAAAAAAAAAAGGATTTTTACTTAAAGAAAAAAAAATCATTTTTCAATATTTATCAATAAAGAAAAGAAAAGTATTATTTGTAAAAATTTGTTTAAATTGTCAAATAGTTGAAAATTTTTTAATTTTGTTACATAAACATATACACACGTATAATTTGAGTGACTGATAAGGCAACAAAAGCATTTTGTTAAAGACTGTGTGGCGGATCTTCGAGAATTTCAAGGACTTGACGATAACAACTCTAGGTTGAACGATAACCTTGCATATACAATTTATAATAATCGTTATCACAACACGAGGTATCGTAATGACTAGTATATGGTCACATCAGACAATTTTCAAAGATAATTAAAAATACAAGTCACTTGTTTTTATTTTAATAGAAAAATCCTCAAAATATTTTAATATTAATATTTACATTTTGTTGTTTTTCATTAAAATCAATATTTTTTCAAAATAGTAAATAGAAAATAAAAACCAATAATGAATAGGTATCAAAAAAAAGTAATTTAAAATAATTATTTCCCAAAGGAATAAATTATTTTGTAATTCAATTATTAAAATGTAATTATTATTTTTCAAAAATTATTTTTCAAAAGAAAATTTTATTTTTACAAATAAAACAATTTTTTATAACTATATAATTTTCATTTTGAAAAATACTTTTTAGAAAAAAAAAATCAACAAAATTTAAGAAGATGAGGGGGAAAAAAAAGCGTAACAAGTCTATTTAAAATAGAGAAAATCTATTTCGCAAACTAAAGTGAAAATCGATTGTTTATAAATGCAAGTGAATCACTTATCGACTGCGGAAGAAATTCCTATGTTGGCCTATAAAGTCGAGTGAACTTGCAAATTAATAGTAGTTATTTATGATATGTATAACGATGATTGATACTGGTTTGTTCTTAAACAACGATAAAACAAACGATTCGTTAGGGAGAAAAAGAGAGAGATACAATTCTACAGAATGCGACTAACTAAATCAAAAAAAAAAAAAAAAAAAAATATGGAGAAATTATTTTTAATTAGGGGGAAAAAAACAAATAATGTCAGACTTTTGTCATCGAATGCTAAATAATATATATACAAGTCACGATTATTGTGTGTAGATAATTCCTAACGTCACAGACTCTTTGTTTTATCGATAAAGATTAAATCAAAGAAATTATCAATGAATCATTATAGTTGCAGAGAAAGCCTTGTCAATTACAAAGAAGATTCTTCCTTATTTTCTTTACATTTAGAATTTAAAGATTAATAATAATTTTTATTAAAAAATAATTCCAATTTTTTCTTTCAATTTTAGTTGAAAGCTGTTTATCGAGCTTTCGATAAATTCTGCGAACTTTCCGTGGAGGATCGGGAAAAATATGAATTTCACGCAAGCACCTCGCACGGTTACGTCAAACCATGCGAAGAAAAGTAAGTTTGAAAACAATTTTTTTTCTCTTTCAAAAACTCGAAATTTAATAATTATAGAATTTTCTAAAGTATATATGAAAATTTTTTTAAATTAGCAAATTTTCAACATCAAATGAAAATGAAGTGCGTCATTCATTCAATGTTTGTGGCGAAGGTGGTCCACTTCCAGAGGAAGATGTTCCTGGATTTAATACAGCAGTTCAAGAATTATCAGGAGATTTTAAACAACTCGCAACAATGCTATTAACCGTACGTTTTTTTTGTTTCTCTCCCCCAAAATGTATATCTTAATTCTATTTTTCAAAATTTTGACAAATCGTTTTCCAAATTTCTGTACTTATCGTACAATTAAAATTTCGAAATCGTTTCTAAAATTTGATAGAATTGAAAAACATTTTTTCTCTCTTTTTTTTTTTTATTGAAATTATTGAATAGAAAGAAATTTTGAAAAAAAAGAGAAAATTTTAAGAGAAAAATACTGAAATATCTAAACAGGCACTTGCAATTGGAATGGAACAACCTCCCGATTTCTTACTATCGAAACATTCACATTTGATGGGTTCAGGAAATTGTACCTCCCTTCGAATGTTGTATTATCCACCGATAGGAGCACCAGAGCCTGATATCACAAGAAATGGTGCTCATTGTGATTATGGAACTTTCACTTTACTCACCCAGGTATGTTTGTTTTTTTTTTCTTTCTCAAAAGCCACTAGGTTTATTTGTATATGCCGATAAGAATTTACGATCCATGTCACTTTTTTTTTTCTTTCTTCCAAACGAGGAGAAAACATCTTGCGTAGGTGGCATCACATTTTACCTGGGAAAATACATCGTAAAATTAAGCGAAGAAAAAGTTATAGAATGCACTGAAAAAAAAATACAAAATCAACTTTTTATTTATGTAATTTCTACCTTACAAAAAACAATTCTACAGTTGAGGCTGTTTTTAAATTAATTTCACAATCTAAGTTGAAATTTTAAAAAATTCAATTATTTTTGAAATTAGCTAAAATTTTTGAAACAAATTAAGTTTTTGAATTAAAATTATTGAAGAGCGTTTAATAATAACTTTAATAAACGTTTATTATTTTATTTAAAAAAAAATTGACTCACGTAAATTAAATTTCAGGACTGCGAGGGCGGCCTGGAAATTCAAAGTCCAAGTGGTGAGCGTTGGTGGCGTGTTGGTCATTTACCAGGAGCAATTCTTCTCAATACAGGAGAAATTCTTGAAAGTTGGACCAATGGACAATTTAAAGCACTTCGTCATCGTGTCATTGTTCCCGAGCATTTTGGTCGTGGACGTCATTCAGTTGCCTTCTTCGTACATCCTGACAATGATGTTGAAATTGAACCATTCGATGTAAAAATTCCAAAACCAATTCAAGAACCAGCGCCCTGTAGACTTCAAAAAAAGAAAATTACTGGTGTACTCACAGCCTATCAACATCTTCAACGTCGATTTCGAGAAACATATGCGTCTTAACACGAAAAATTTGAGAAAAAACAAAATTTACATTTGATTTTTGATCTGCCTCGAGAAAGAGAGAGAGAGTGAGTGAGAGAGAGAGAGAGAAAGAGAAACAAAAATAAAATCCAAGATATTCACGCATTTACGTCCGTTTTTGCATTTCGCTCCTTTTTGTTGAAACAATGTGAAATGAGAATTTAAATTCTTTTTTTTTTACGATGATAAAAATTCAATTTTCGACTTTCAGTCAATTTTATTTCGAAATGTTCTTCAATGATAGACGATTGACTGAATATTTTTCTTTTCCTTTTTTTTTTTTTTTTTTTTTTTTTTTTGAAACATGACTTCGACAAAAAAAAGTTCCAAGTCCTGCAATAATAATAAAAAAAAAAAAAGATTTGTACTTAACGCAATAAAATTTTTGTTTTTATTTCGCACATTTCATTCTCCTAAATTATATTAGTTTTTAAATTGAATTAATTATTATTTTACTGCATTGACATTTAAAATCCAGGATTCCAATTGGTATGTTGTAGTTCATGTCGTATTTTATAGGAAACAATTAAATCATTAGGTTGAAAGGTAATTGTTGAATCGTCAAAAAGAAGACCACATTCCATGTCCTTTTTTATAGAATCAACCTCTGATTTCAAATGTCTCATTGAAACTATTTTACCTATCGATAAATTATATTGAAATTTCTTTTTTTTTTTTTTAAATCTTCATTGATATTTTAATTATTACAAAATAGAAATACTTACATCTGCTTATTACATCATCGTCGCGAACAACTTTGTACAAACTGGATTTTTTCAAAGTACCTTGTGTACATCTACATCCGGCAACTTTGACCGTTTTTTTTTTATCATTGATTTCAAATTCTTTTAAAACAATTGCCTCACCTGGAAAAATCGAAAATATTTCCTAATAAGAAAAGAAAAAAAAACTATCACAAAATAGTGAAAAAAGTTAACTCACCGATAGAATCTTCAATTTCGATTAAAGGCAATTTTTTGCTAATTTCGTCCTTTAAATCGTCGACAAGTTTATAAATGACATTATGTGTTTTAACTTGAACTTTTCCATTTTTAATTAATTCAGTCAAATTTTTTGGAATATCCGTATTGAAACAGTAGATAATAGCTGTTGATTTAGAATGAATTTTTTTTGTTTTAAACAGAGAAATTTTTAATATTTAAATTAAATATTTTCATAATAATTGTAAATTCGAACCGTTGAAAATTTTCGCCATTTCAATATCTGATTCTGTGACAGGACCAACTTCATGCTGAATAATTGACAATGCACATTTATCATGATTTCTATATGTGACAAGAACATCTAAAATAGCTTCCACAGAACCAACCACATCACCTTTAATAATAATATTTAATTTCACATGATCGTCTTCAATTTTTTTTGTCGATAAAAACAATTTTTGTGTACGTTTTTTAGGAGATCCAAATTCTCTTCTTTTCTTTAAATCTTCTCTGTAACCCTAATAATGATTTTAAAAATATTTTTTTATTTAAAACAAAAATTATTTCAAGTTAAAAAATTGAAATTATTAAATAAATTACTAAATAATAAATAAATAATTTGATTTGAAAAATAATGAATAATTACAATGAGATGTTCCTCAAGTCTTTTGTCAGATTCTTGACGATGTTCAACAGCCAAATTATCCATTTTAATTGCTTCTCTAATACGAATAATCTCATGTGCTTTATGTTCATTTTCAACAGCAAACATCACATCTCCAGCCATTGGTAAATCCTTCCAACCAGTTATTTGTACAGCGTCGGATAATGAAACTGTCTTCAATTGATTGCCCTCGTGATCATACATGGCTCTCACTTTTCCCATAGTTAATCCGCTGACTGAAAAATATGTTAGTAAATTAAAAATCAGGAATTACTTAAAATTTAGTCAATTTAAACCTAAATTTTAAAATAAAAACTTTTTACTATTAAAGAATTTGAATTTATTGAAATTTAGGTACTTCAATTTGAATAAATTAAAATCTTGATCAATTGAAATTTGAATTGATTACAGTTTAAATATATTGAACTTTGGATTGTTTGAATATGAACAGTGATTAAAAAACAATTTTATTTTATATTGTAAAAAAATTAGGATTAATTAAATTTAAATTAATTTTTATCACAAAATAATTAGGATTTAAATTTTTTTTTTTTGAATTTAAATAAATACCAATAATAGTTCCTCGTTTTAGAGTCCCTCGTTGAATTAGAGAAGTGGCAACTTTCCCTTTTCCAGGATGTGTGGTTGATTCAATTATAACACCTTCCACTGGACCTTTTGGATCTCCTTTAAGATTCAATAAATCCGCTTGTGTAATAATTGCATCTTTTAATGCATCTAAATTTGTTTTCATTAATGCTGATATATTTACACTTTGTACATCACCACCAAGATCTTCAACTAATATTCCATGCTGCGTCAACATTCGTTTCGTTCTTTCCTAAAAATAGAAATGAATTCACAGTAAATAATTAGTAATTTTTGGAGTATTTTTTTCTTCTTAAATAAATTACTTACTATATCAGCAGATGGTTTGTCTATTTTATTAATAGCCACAATTAACGGAACATTTGCATTTTTAATCATTGTTATACTCTGAAGTGTTTGTTCCATTACTCCATCATCGGCAGCAACGACAAGAACAACAATGTCCGTAACGTTTGCACCTCTTTCACGCATTATTTTAAATGCCGCATGTCCAGGAGTATCCAAAAAAGTGATTTTATCACCACTATTTAAGGTAACTAAAATTATTAATTATATTTATCTTTCCGTCTTAGAATTAAAATTACAAAAAATATTTCCTTTTTAATTAAAAACTTTTTCACATTATTGAAAAAGTATTCAAAAATCGAAAAATAAAACAATAATATTAGTCTAAAATACCATTAAAAGCGCCAATGTGTTGTGTTATGCCTCCAAATTCAGTTTCCACGACTGATGTGTTTCTTAAAGAATCCAATAATGTTGTTTTTCCATGATCCACATGACCCATTATTGTTACTACTGGATGTCGAGTAATTAATACTAAAGGATCAATAGGAGGCCTGTAAAAAAAAAAAGAAAACTTTGTACAAATGTAATTTCAATTTTAAAAAATTAAATTTTACCTTTTTGTTAATTCCATCTCTTTTTCTAATTTTGAATCTTCTTTTTTTTCATATTTTGATTTCATTTGAATTCTAAATCCCATTTTTTCCACCACATCCTTAATTACACTAACAGAAACAATAGATGTGTTTGATTCAAAATTTCCCTTTACTCCAATTAATGACAAAACTTCAAAAATTTGTTCCTCATTTCTATTACAATTAATTGCTAATTCATTTACTGTAATACCTTTCCATACTTGAACTTTATTAAATTGTTTCTTAGGTGTTGCGATCATTTGAATATTTACCCTCTTAGTTTTCTAAAAAATATTTTAATTTTTTTTTAAATATGTGAAAAAGAAAATTATTAAATTAACAACAAAAAAAAAATTACCTTTAATTCCGAAGCTTTTTGATGTTTGAAATAAATTGAAGTTGTATGATAATATTGACATTGTAGACAAGATATTGTCAGGATTCTAATTCTTTGTATTATACTTTGAATTCGACATTCTCTATCAAACATATTCCTAGAATTAAAATATTAACAATAAAATTACAATAAAAAAAATCAGAAAATAAAAATTTCAAAATCAAAATTTTAAGGTTATGAAAAAAATAAAGTGAGGTTATGTTTCAATTTAACTAATATTTTCTCACTAAATTTTCCATGATTTTTCATTTATTCAATTAAAACTGATTAATCAATTTATAAATTAGTTTACTCACCAACGTTTTGTGCCGATTTTCACTAAATTTCCAGCCACGTTCAACATTGTAAAAAGGAACTCATGAAATTTTCATTACCATTAGACACACACGTGTTGTTAAATTAAAAAAACACTTTTATAATTAAATTAATATTTTAAAAAATGGTTCCCTAATAAATTTTATCGTTTTTCTACTAATAACAGTAAAATAGCATTTTTTTAAAAAACATTTTTAAAAACGATTATTCTCTTAATAATGAACTGTAAAAATGACACTTGATAACAATTGTCATAAAACAAAATACAAAATATAATTCTACTTTCAAATATAGAAAATATATTTATATGTGAAATTATAAAACTGTTTTAAATTTTTATTTCACATTTTTAGTTTTTAACTAACGAAAAATTAAAAAACATTTTTAATTATATTAGTTCGCGCAAAGCACACATGGCGGCGCCATTATCGAAGCAGGGCTGAAAACTTGAAAAAAAAACAGAAGAAATATCGTCTGCTCTGTTGATAACAAAACATTGTGACAATTGACACCCTGAATGATAACATGATATTTTCTATCCGCGTGTGATCGAGTTATCGTTCGCGTATTTTCAGTGAGTGCTCTGTGCTTCAATCGTAATGATCACTTGATTGTGTGCTGTTAGACGTAGTGAATTAGAAATTTATTTAATTTATATGGAGCGTTATGCTGACGATGAAATGGAAGAGCGAAGATCAATTCGCAATTCTGGTAAAGCACTCAAAAAATATGGAAGTACATCTAAACATATAAAACGAAATGAAATTATGATCAAACATGTTGTGTCCAAGTCAGATACACTTCAGGGAATCGCCCTCAAATTTGGAGTTACAGTAAGTATATTTGATGAAAATAAAATTTTCCAGGATATTAATTTTTATTGATAAATTAAATTTGTTTTTGACAGTTAATTTATTATTTTGTTAACTATTTTAATATACACAAAAGTTTCTCTTTAATCTAAATGATCAAATTTTAAGTCATGTGATTGAAAGTAGAAAGTAAATTTTAAGAAATTGTTGTTAACATAACCTTAAACTGTCATTTTGTAAAGAGTTAACGATTTATTATTGAAATTTATGATAATAATGAACTTTTTATTCTTTTATTTTTATCAACATTCTATCTATAATTATGATATTAAAAAATATTTGTATATTTTTTGGAAAATAATTTGAAATTGTGATTCAATTGTTGATAATTTTTTATTATTTTTAATATTTTAGTTACGTTCTACTTGGTTTACTATTAAAATCAAATATTTCATTTTCTTGCACGTGATATTTTCACGACTGAATGATCATTTTGCAAGGTCATTAGAGTTTTGTCTTATTTTTCTTCAAGAAAATTATTTCTCTATATATATAAGTTTTTACTAAAATTATTGAATAATTTATAAAATTATCCTTTTTTCGTTATACAAAATGCTGAAAATTATAAATTTCGAAGTAGTAAAATTTGTTTTTTAAAAAAAAATAATTAGCTCCATTACATTGTGCTTTGCAAATTCAAAAAGTGTTTTTTACCTTTAAAGTTGATTCTTTTGAGGCTATAAAAAGAATTGTTTTAAATAGAGAGCTTTGTAAATTTGCATTCGGAAGCGAATAATGAGTTTATAAATCTAAATATTGTGGACTTTTTAGCTAAAAACATTTTTTTAAAAATAATTCTTTTCCTCTTTTAGGTAATAAAAAAAATTATGTAATTGCTGTTTATAATTTAAAATTAAATTACCTCAGTTATTCAAAAATAGAGATAAACAAAATATAATAATGCATCTTATCTTAAAATTCAATATGTTCTTATCAAAAAAAAAGTTTTCGTTTCTTTCTTGACACATTTTCATCTTTTTTGAAACTTCAATTTCTAATTTGTCAATAATATTATTAAATTTTAATAATTTTTATTTTAATAATTATTTAAAAAAAAAAAACTTATTTTTTCAAGCAAGAACAAATAGTTTAAAACATTAAATATATCTAATCTTTATGCCTATAGGTGATATCTTATCATCTCAAAAAAAAATAGTAAAAAAAAAAACAACTAGTAAAATTATATTCAAATATTAAAAAATATTATATGAAATATAAATTATATTTTCACAATAAAATTATTTAAAAAAAAAATTTAATGAAAAAATTATTTTTAAATAATATAATTTTATTAGAAATAACATATATTTTCGCTCCCCTTTAAAGACGGAGCAAATTAGAAGAGCTAATAGACTGTGGGCAACGGATAGCTTATTCCTACGAGAATATTTATTGATTCCCGTACCCGTGGATAATCCGTTATCTACTCCAAGCAATGATGCTTCGACTGAATCTGAATCTAATCACACGATTGCAAGTGTAAGTTTAATAAAAGTTTTCAATTTACTTTTTGATTTTTCAACAACTAGAATAAAATTTAAAAATTCAAATATTCTTTTCTAGACCTCTAGGTCCTCATCGATATCGTCGTCCATAGATCAAGAAAGTACTGTAGATGATTTTTTAGCAAGAATGGATTCATCTATAGCAAGTGTTAAAAAAGATGTTAAACGCGCTCAAGGAAACAGTGAGTAAGTGAATCAATTTTTCACATAAAAAAATATTTTCAAATGAAAAATGAATTTTTAAAAAAAAAAAATATTTTTACAGATTTTGTCACGAGGGTGACGATTCATATGTACAGAAACGAAAAGCAGTGGCTAGGTTACGAAATTCCCATCCAGTTTCGTCAAATCCTTATGCACCAATGCCAACGTCTGAATTAGTTAATTCATTTTCGTCAAGCGATGTTCACAGTCTTCCATCAACAGTTGTGATGACACAAGGAAGAAGAGTGCGAACATCACTGCAAAGACTACAACAACAACAAGACGAAATGTTTCAATTGTAGCAATCAATTTGCGTACGAACAACGTGCGTTTGAGTCATAAAGAAAAGAATAATTTTTTATCGACTTCAAAAAAAAAAAACAGAATCTGAAATTCTTTATCATGGTGCAATAGTTAAATGAAAAATACAAAGAAGTTAGTGCTTAGTTGAAGAAATTTGAAAAATAATCTAGACCATAAAAAAGGATCCCCTCTCGAAAGGGAACCGTCTGTGCCTTTCCCTCAAGCCTATATAATTCTACTTTACAGATATTTTTTACATTCCCATAAACTTCTTTTTTTTTTTTTTTCCCCCACCCAAAAATTTATGGTACAGATTTTGAGATTTATCAAAGAGATTATTATTATCATAAGAAAGCGAAAAGATTCAATAGAATAAATATTTTGAAATATAGATTAGTTCCGATTTCTCAAAGTTTTGTCTAAAATAAACATTTTTCGAACGTATCAGAAAAAAGAGACTTAAATCGCACTTGCTTCCGAAGATTAAATTCTTAAAAAAAATTTTTTTTTTTTTCATATACATAAAACTCTGAATCGTGTCTTCTCTTATTTTAAATGTGGAACAATTCATTTGTCATTCGTTGATCGAATGTAATTTTTTCATGATTGTAAAGAAAAACAAAAAGTCCATAAAAAAAAAACTGTAGAGTAGACAAAGTTTAAAAATACAGCGAAAAACATTTGTAGAAAAACATGAATCGGTGTCAAAAAAAAAAAAACTCCAAAATACAGGGATAATGTGAAAGATTCAGTAGTTAAATAAAGAAAAATATTAAAAAGAGAAAGAATAAACGAACAAACGGAATACGTGAACGAAATGACTGAAATGAACGGAAAAATAAGAAGAAGAAGAAGAAGAAAAATAAATGGAAGATAACTAAAAGAAAATTCGGAAAAATTGCCCTTTATCAACAAATAAAAAAAATTTGTAAAAATTATTTTTCCGAAATCCAGAAAAAAGGTTGTCTCAACTAGATAGAATTAATTCGAATAATGCACATAAATATTGAGTTTTACTATTTCATAAACATGAAAAATGTACAATTGCATTGAAATTTCTTCTTTAACGAAGAAATTAATTCGATTCTAATAATAATTCGATATATTTAAGTAGTCTAATTTAAAAAAAAAAAAAAAAGATTGTCAAACGAATATGATATTTTCAGTACCTGTGAATGTTTTCAATTTAAAAAACTGTAAAAACGTGTCATTCCTTTTAGTTAAAAAAAAAAAAAAACAAGTGTTAATATTCGTATACGGCTGTTAAAAAAAAAATCGTGTACAGTATAAAAAAATGTCAAGAAAAAATGACAAAAGTATTTTTTTTTCGTTGATAATTTAAAGAAAGAAAGAAAGAAAGAAAGTGTCGTTACGAGAATATGTGATTAGAATTTTCTTCAATTTAGTATTATTTATTCATTGAACAAATTATCAAATAAATTAAATTTAGGAACGATTAAATTTGCACTTTATTTAGAAATTGAAAATCATTAAATCTCTAAAATTAAAAAGAAAATAAATAAATTATTAAAAAATATATAGTATTATAAATTTTAAGATTTACATTTTTCAAAGAGGATAAAAATTGAAAAAAAATCCGAAAAACTTACGAGTTTTAAAAAAATTGCCAAATTAAAAAATTTTAGAGACTTAAGAATCGAAAATTTCTTGTGCTTATTGTTGTCAGCTGTTAATTGAAAGTTATTTATAAATAAAAAATTGTAAAACGCTTTAATGTCAAGGATCTAGTATACCTTAAATATACTCAGCCGATTGTGTACAGAAATTAGAAAATAATTTTCGATAAAGAAAATTTTAAAAGAAATTTGTGTTTATATTGGTGTGAATGTTCTTTTTCTTTTGCTGAGTAGCTTCGATTCATTTTTCAAAAATTAATGAAGCTAAACTAATTTAGTTCTATATATATATATATATTAGAAAAATTAATTATCACATAAAAGAACATCCAAATAAATAATATATATATGATCATTGAAAATTGTATTTTTTTTCAAAAAACCATCTTATAAAAATAATTATTTTTATAGAGCAAAAAAAAAAAAGAGAATAATAAATTTATACACTCACGTTTTCTTCTCAAAAAATTGAAGTTTTCTAGATTCTCTCTAGTTTCTTACTAAACCATCTGTTGAAATCGAGTCTTAAGAGCAATTGTGCCAAATGTTCTCCACTTGGTTGAGAACGAACTCGACTTAATGTTTTCGTAAGCCAGTCCATTAAACTTTCCAAAGTGTCGTAGAGTTTCTGTAGCTCCTCTTTTTCTGAATCCAATAGATTTTCCATATTCCAAAGCGATGATTGTAAAATAAAATCATCGCAAAGACGTAGTAATAATTGTATAAGATCATTTACCTGGAGAAGTAAATTTTTCGTTAATTTATTTTATATAAATTTTTATTAAAATAAATATTCATTTAATTATAATTTAAAAAGAAAAGAAACTTACTGGATTTTTCTTTCCTGCATTATTGCTCAAAAGAAATGTTTGCGACATTACATTTGCCATAAAAACAGAATGTGCTCGTTGAATTTCTTCAAAATTTCTTGTATTTTTCATACTGTTTTCCATCATTGTATATTGACTCTCAAGAACGTCTACTTGAAGATAATATTGCAAATTATCAACAATGAATATCAAATTATTTCGCAATTGAATCACATCGATTTCACTGAAAATAATCATTTTGTCAAAAGTTTTCTGTAAAAAAAAAAAATTTGATTTACAAAAAAAATAATTACATATTTTTGGAACGCGCGTGTTCTCTCCAAAGATTCCACAAATTGATTTGTGTTTTTTTCACTCGCAATAAAAATCGAAAGAGTGAATTATAATCCTTTAAAGTTGCCGGACTAAACAATAAATGTAAAGGCCAAACAACTTTATATTGCAGTACAATCAAACCCCAACCTCGTTTTTCTAGAATTTTAAATTAAAATTTAATATTTTGAAAAAAAAGAGAATTTTAAAATAATTATTTTCTTTTTACCAATTGGATCTTCACGATCTTTTCCTTCATCATCATTTTTAGTGGGAAGATTAACTGAGAAAGTAAATCCATCCATGGCACTCTCGTCGTTTGAATGTAATTTTCTTAATGCTGCTTGAAAGGCAAAATTAATATCACGCGATGTATGATTTGTTGGAACAATATTTAAAGTATGTGTTGTTAATCTAATAAATTCCAAAAATAAATCGCCTCTTCCCATTAGATAAAAATCTTTCATTAATTTCAATTGTTGCATTAATTGTGCTTCTTCAACAGTCACTTGCCATAAATGTTCAGTTACACAAAGTTTCAAATTATCAACAGTTTTCTCAAATCCCACTACATTGAATTTTGTTTGCATTTGTAAACTCTGAAGTTTTTCAAAATGCTCATATTCTTTTTCGCCCCAAATTGAATTCTCCAATTTTCCCTCGTATCTCAATTCTAAATGAAAAAAAAAGAGTAGATAAATTAAATTTTTTATTTAAATGAAAATTTATTAATTTAAAAAAAAAAAAAAAAAAAAACCTTTTTTCTGACGAGGATCGTTTCCAAACATGATGACAGTTTGTCCAATGGCCAAAATTTTCGAGGCCAAGGTGGAGCGAATGTAGGAAGGAAGCATATCAATTTGTATATCGTAATTCCACATGTTTGTGAATTTCACTTCAGATGTGCCACTATTCATACCATCAACTGAAATTCCAAGATCGTCTGAGTCATCGTTGCTTTTTTGAATAAAAAATTCTTTATGCACATCCTCCAATTGTCCATATAAAAGCCAACTTATCAAATGCTTGTAAAAAACAACATGCATACAACGTGTCACTCTGTAAAATATTCTCAAAATTAGATCACAAAAAATTGCAATAATTTTTAGAATTAACAGTTTAAAAATTTTTTTAACTCACTTTTGAAGAGCAATTTTTACTTCAGGAATTCCTGTATTTGAATGCTGATGTACACATTGTAATAATTTACATCCATAGAGTTTACGAGTTTGTATCTAGAGAACAAAATTGTATTTCAATTAAAAATTTATTTTATTTTCAATAAATTCAATTTAAAAAAAATGTCTTACCTCTGATATAATTGAATTGAATACGCAAAATAGAGAAATATATTTTTGCAAACGGCAAAGTATCATCGATACTGGAGTATGTGAATCGTTTAAAATAATTTTCTCCATTTCAATGATTTCATCACGAAAAGGCTCGAGAGCTTCGTCCATTCCATTGCAAAGAGCTCGTAAATATAAACCAAGAACTAATTCAGTTTCTGTAGAGACAAAATATTTTTTAAATTTAAAATTACAATTTTTTGGGGGGAAAATAATTTTTAATTAAAAATAAATCGTCATTTACCTGTGTAATTTTTATTTGGCGCATCAACTGGCGAATAACGTTTAATAAATTTTCTTATTCGATTACATTCTTGAACTATTTCCAAAATTTCTTTTATTATCGCCTTTTCGCCTGGATGAAATTTATTACTTGCATCTTCAAACTGTAATTTAAAAAAAAATAAAATATATCATACTAAACAATTGAGTTTTTTTTAAATTTGCCGGAAAAAAATTGCAAAAACTGGAGAAATAAATCGTAATTATTTTCTTCAAATATTTATAGGTTAGTTTTTTTTTTTTTGTCAAAACAGGAATTTTTCATTTGTGAAAAAAAAAATTTTAAATTATTTAATTAAGACTTACATCAGTGTTAATAATTTCTGCAACACTAGTTGAACATCCCCAGAGGGATAACAAAATTTCGTGCAACATTTTACAGAACTATTTTTCATAAATAATACTGCTATTTTTTTTTCTATCGTAATTCACGATTTCTACACTATTTTAATTACATTATTAGAAAGAAAAAAAAATTCTTAATTTTCTCTGTATATAATTTGACAAGTTTTTCTTTATTTTTGTTTACAATCAAACACAATGTTTTCAAATCGCAGCTGATTGATGAAACATAACCTTAAAATTTTGTGCTGCGCGCGTTTGCGTTGGCAGAGTGACATTTGCTGTGGAAATATTTCGACATAATTCAGGTTCTTTTTTTATTTATTATTAAAAAAAATATATATATATATATATTCTCCAAGTTTTATTTATTGTATTAATTCGAGATAACCAATTTTATAATTTCAATTTTTTTTTCGCAAATACCTAACCTCTTTTTTTATACGTGATTTGCAAATAAAAAATTACATAAATTGTTATTTGTTTATTTACTATTATTATTAATATTATTATTATTATTATTTATATACCTTAATATTAATTTTATTGAATTAAATATCCCTTGCTTTTATTAATATTTATTAATAAGTGATTTTTAATTAGAATTTATTTTCGTTCCATTAATCGATTATAAACGTTAATTTATTTATGAAAGCGGTGTCAGTTTTTTAAAAGAAATAATTTTTAAAGGAACCAACGTGCCAAAAAAAAAAATAAAAGGAATTTTTCTTGACAAGAGAAAAATTGCATAATTAATTGCATTTGAATAAAAAAGTAAGTACATATCAATCCTTTGAGACCAAAGGGAAAATTATTTTTTTTTTTTATCAAATCTTAAATTATAAATTTAGTTTATATTTTCTTTTGTTTTTGAAGGACAATAAAATGGCAAAGCAAGGAGAGGGTATTATAACGAGAGAAGATTTTGACGCTGGACCATCGAGTTATAATGAGATTGAGCCAAATCTTTATTTGGGAAATTTAACAGCAGCAACCGATTCAGAATGGTTGAAACGAGAGCAAATAACTCATATTTTAACTGTCGATTCGTGTCCATTGCCAAGGAAAATACAAACCCTACCCGACATCACAATGAAATACATTCAAGTCACAGATATGCCACGTGAGGACTTATTGACCTACTTTGAGGACACCTATCAATTTATTCTCTATTCATTGGAACGTGGTGGTAAAGTTCTTGTACATTGTTATTTTGGAGTTTCACGTTCGGCAACATTAGTTATTGCTTATATGATGAAAAAGTATAATATGAGTTTTACAAATGCCTATGAGGCTGTTAAAAAAAAGAGACGATTCGTTGGACCAAATCCAGGATTTTTGGCACAATTAAAACTCTATGAACACATGGACTTTAGTATTGACAATACAAATATTCAATTTAAATTATATCGTTTACAAATTGCCGCCGATAAAGTGAGAAAAGCAAAAATTCTTCCACAAAATTATATGGATTTAGTGAAAGCTGATCCTGCATTGACAACAGTTCGACCAGAGCCAACAGTTTATCGTTGTAAAAAATGTCGTCGAATTGTTGCTAATGCAAGTAATATTCTACCTCATTCGACAAAAGAGAAGCAAATTTGGCGTCACGTCAGTAAAAAGGGACAAGATAAAACGTCAAAACAAATTAAAAATTTACAATTACCAGAGGCTAAACAACAACAGGAGCAAGAGGAGAAAAAAACAATTGAGATGTGTAATAAAACTTATTTTATTGAACCACTCGCTTGGATGCCGGACATCACTCACAATGTCGAAGGTAAACTTAATTGTCCAAAATGTAATTCAAAATTAGGTTCATTTAGTTGGATATCAGGTTGTCAATGTCCCTGTGGTAGTAAAATTGCCCCGGCCTTTTATCTTGTACCCTCTAAAGTCGATTGGAGTAATGCTGTACAAAATGTCGAGTCGACAGTCTAAAGTTCTTTGAAAACGAAATTTTGATTCGATTCCAAAATTCCATATTTGAAAATTTTAATTCTGTTATTTAAAGAAAAAAACCAAATGGAATTAGAATCGAAATTTTTACTAAAAAATCCAAAATTGGATTTTCATTCCTTTTGCTCAATTTTTTTTTTGATAATTTTAAATTTTCCGTATTGAATGAGCATTATTATATAATATTTAATGTTAAGATTCATCATTTGTGATATTAGATTCAATATAGTTCTATTTATAGAAGTGAATAGAATTTCCGAGTTAGTCGATTGTTTCAATTTGAAACTAGTAGAAATTTTGAATTTTTAAAATAAATATAGAAAATGGTTTAGAAAATTTTTTTTTTTTCGAGAGTTGTGATTTAAGGTGTACACCTGTTTTGAAATTCTAAAATATCTTCAAGTAAAATTAAAATATTCTGAAAATACCTTGAAATACTCGCGGAAATAAATTATTTCAAATATTTTCATGCATCTTAAAATATATAAAAATATTTTCAAACAAAATTTCCCTTCTTTTTAAATACAAATTGTAAATTATTTTTAAAAAATATAAAAACAATAATAAATAAATAGAAACGTACACTTTTTGAAATCCTCGAATTTTTTTTTTAAATTCTCATGTGCCAAATGTTTTTAATTTATTCTACATAAAAACTCCATTTTTGGAGTAAATATTCCTTAGCGATTTAAATAATTTTCTTTATACATTTAATAATAATAATAATAATAATAAGAGTAAAAAATTACTTTTATAGTATATAAATGTCTGTAAACTCTTCCTGAATTTTATCCAATTTGCACTATTTCTCACCATGTTAAAAAAAATTCAGAAAATTTTTATTCTCCATTTAAAAATAATGCACTTTTTAAATTTGCAAATTATACACTTTTTAAATTTTGCAAAAACCTTTTTCAATTTACAATAATAATACACTTTTTGCATAGTTTTGCATGTTTGACATAAATTTTTTACTTGAAAATTTGCAAAAATTATTCTCTTTTATTATAATAGAGGATAAATTTTTTATTTTAAACAAGTTTTTAAAAAATATGTATAAGACGGGACCAAGTTGAAATTTGAGGAAATAATTTTTAACAAAGTTAATATTTGAAAAATAAAGAATATTGTAAAGTTAACAATTAAAAATATATTAATGTTAACTATGAGAAAATATAATAAATCTAATATTAAAAAAAATATTAATAAAGTTAATAAAAATTGACACTGAAAGTGTATTAAAAGTTAATTCAGAAAATATAAATAAAATAAAAAAAAGTTTATCTCTAAAATTAATTCTGAAAATATAAATGTAACAATAAAAAATAAATATATATATATATTAATAAAATATATAAATGTAAACATTGAAAAACATAAATAAATGTAACAAATGAGAAACATATGTTAAAATTAGCAAAACATGTAACAAAGTTAAAACTCATATTTTTTGCAACAATAATCCTAAAGACGTCCATTTTTGCATTTTGATTCCGAATTATAAAAAAAAAAATAATTAAAAAGTTTAATGATATAGAAGATATTAAATGTAATTATTATTATTTCAAATAAATAATAATAAAAATGTTTTTTGTTTAAATAGCTCATTCGATACTGAATTTTCGCGAAAGCCTAAACTTATTCTTGGTATTTATAAATATAGCTCTTCTAGTTTTTTCAATTGCTGCAATGAGACTCAAAAATCGAATTCATTGCGCGATATTGTTCGATTTTTAAATAATTCTAATCATGTGCCAACGTGTTATTAAAAAAAAAATTATATTTACGATTTTAATAAGCTTTTATCGCCAAATAACAAATGGACTTTTAAATATTTATATCGCATCTCTTTATTATTGTTCTACATTTATTTTATAAAAGTAAATTCGATGTATTGTCTACTGTTTATTCTACAATATATATATATATATAATATGTGTTAAAAATTAAGATAATATTTATTCTATAAAATACCAATTTTTAATTACCCTGTTTTTTCAGTCGAAGCGTATTTTTTTCGAAAAATCCATATTAATGTTTTATAAAAAATATAATTATTGTTTAATTCCATAAAAATTATTAATTAGAATTTTCATTTTAACCAATTTTATTATAAATAATTATTTTTTTAACGATTTTTCAAAAATGTTGTTAATTAAAAATAAATAAAAAATTAAATTCTTTAAAATAAAAATTCTAATTAATGAATTTTTATGGGATAATCATTTTTCTAATTTTGTCAATTTAAGACTTTTTATACAAAAAATTATTATTTGATCGGGATAATTTTTTTCAGATTAAAAATTTTCTTTTTTAATTAAAAGAAAAAAATTATTCTAATCAAAATTACTTTTTTTTCAATAAAACTCTTGTGAAATTATTAATAATAAATTGTAATTTAATTTACGTTTATAAAAAAAATAAATTTTTAACTTAATTTTAATGAAATAAAAAGTTTAATTTTAATTATATAAATAAAAAATTTATTTTTATTTGAAAATTTAATTTCGAAATTTCTTTTTAGTACCCTATTGCGTGTTTTATTTTTGGTTTTTTTCTCTTTCTTTTTAGCACACTTTTATAAAGGATGAAAATGAGTATTACAGCCAAGTCCTTTGGTTTTGATTTTTTTTTTTTGTAAATTTTTGCATAATTGGCAAAAATAAGAAGAATTTCGCCAATAAAATCATGAAGAAATGATATAATAATCGAAAGATATATTGTCACATAGTGGCGTGCATCGCCGAATAAGCGCCATAAGGATGATTACGAAGTCTAAGTGCACTTAAGCTATTCATTGATGTACTCTCCAAAGTTGTATGAACTTCCGGTTGATGATATGTGGTAAGTCCCAAATTTCCATTGACAAATCCATGACAACTTGTTGTTGTTGATTGTACTGTTGCATAATGCTGTTGAGATCTCCAATAATCACTATAGGGATATTGTCCAATTTGTGGCGATTGAAGAGGCTCTGAATTGCTTTCACTACCATGATTTGTAACTCTGATTGGCCTCAATGGTAAAGTTGCTTCCATTTCACGATTCGTTGAAACCCCACGATTCATCGCTGAACTTCTTTCATTTCTGCGAAATTTTGCCCGTCGATTTTGGAACCATACCTAAAAAAAAAAAAACAAAATTAATTCATTATTGTTTCTATAATTTATTCATGAATTAAAAATTTTAATATTTAATTTAATTGAAAAATACTTTCAGATAATAAAAGAATTAATATTCTATTTTCAATTTGGCGCTATTCAACAGACGAAAAAACACTAATCTCGATATTTAATAAAGCTAAACATTTCTAGTCATTAGGGTTAATTTATTAAAATTAACCGTAAAATTGATATTAGAGTTCTCATGAAAAATTCAAAAGAAGTTCCCCTTTTTTTATTATACAGTTTATATGGTAAAATGAAAAACTTAAGGAAGTTTCAATTTCTGGCGCGTGTCTCCCTTCCTATTTCTTCTAATTATATTCATACCCAGGTGCGAATTTCGGTCGGCCGCCAGAGTTGGTTCGTCGGCCCATGGTCGGCCCAACTCTGGCTGCCGACCGGTCGGCAGCCAGAGTTGGGCCGACCATGGTAAATATTTGCACCCAAAGTTGGGCCGACTATGGCTGCCGACGTCGGCAGTCACAGTTGGGCCGACCATTGCAGCCATAGTTGGGCCGACTATGGGGGATTATGGTCGGCACAACCTTGGCAGCCATAGTTGGGCCAACCTTGGCTGCCATAGTTGGGCCGACCAGGGGGGGTAATGGTCGGTCCAACTATGGCAGCCACAGTTGGGCCAACCATGGCTGCCATAGTTGGGCCGACCATGGGGGTAATGGTCGGCACAACCTTGGCAGCCATGGTTGGCCCAACTGTGGCTGCCATAGTTGGGCCGACCATTCTTCCCCATAGTCGGTCCAACTATGGCAGCCACAGTTGGGCCGACTAAGGGGAAAATGGTTGGCACAACCTTGGCAGCCATAGTTGGGCCAACCTTGGCTGCCATAGTTGGACCGACCATGGGGGACAATGGTCGGTACGACCTTGGCAGCCAAGGTCGGTCCAACCTTGGCTGCCATAGTTGGGCCGACCATCATAAAGTAAATTTCTCTCCTACCATTGACAAATGTAAAATGTTTTTGTTAATTTACTTGTAATTGATTAATTTAAAAAGAAAAAAGGTTATATGTGATTAATTTATTATTTTGAATTACTAACTTTAATTTTTTTCAAGCTGTAGCTTATAACATTTATTTTTCTCCGTGACTCATATGTCATTGCGTAGTGTAGTGGTTAGCGTATTAGACTGCGGTGCGTTAGGTTGCGAGTTCGATCCCTGCGAGCGTTAAAAATTTTAATTTGTATATATGTATGTTTACGATTGCGTTTAGTGTTTAAGTATATAAAATAAATGTATAATGAATTTAAAATGATTACTAATATATGTTATTTGTATAACAAATTTTTATATTTTAATGTTTATGGTCGGCAAAATTTTAGCTGCCAAGGTTGGCCCAACCATGGCAGCCATAGTCGGGCCGACTATGGCTGCCGACCGTCAAGTTGGATGGTCGGCAGCCAAGGTTGGCCCAACTATGGCTGCCATGGTCGGCCCGACTATGGCTGCCGACCGTCGGCAAGGATGGTCGGCCCAACTAGGGCAGCCTTGGTCGGCCCGACTATGGTACCCATAGTCGGTCCAACTTAGTCGACCATAGGTCGGCCGACGTTATCAATTCGCTAGTTGGCCCGACCTCTGGCTGCCCGAGGTGGGCCGACCATGCACATGGTCGGCCCGACCATGGGCCGACCGACAATTCGCACCTGGGTAATTGACATGCTAAAGTGTTAACCAGCTGTACCATTTTTTATTCACTTTTTTTTTTATTCCGCTTGACGCAATATCATCCCTTCTCTGGCAACCCCCCTTGAAAATATATAATTAGGATCACCTGGATATGGTTATATACTTGCGTGGGTCAAGAAGAAGAAGAAGGACAAGTCCTTTTCTTAAATGCATTAATGCCTTGAATTATATTATCAAATTGCGTGCAATAGCGTGACAAGGTACAAATGAGTTCTCGCAGTTATATATTAACAACTGTGACTTGACCCTCCAAAAACGACGACGACGATGACGACGACCACCACGTCGAATTGCTTTTTACTTATAACGGATTTAACAAGACGAACCACACCCCCATGATGGTCTAGCTAGCCCCCTTTTTATATACAAGCTGCGGTTTCTCAAACCAATACTACTTAACAAATTTAACAGTCTGACGCTTCAAATAGCGTGTTATTTTATTATATCTCATTTATATATAGTTTATTTCTCAATTATTAGCTTCGTTTTCAAGCACAATTATATACTTCTTTAAATTTTATACTATAAATTTTGATTTTTTTAATTTTTATACAAATATTCAGAAAATTAAACGTCTTTAAATTTTTGTGTTGTTGAATTCAAAATTATTGAATTTATATTTAGCAAAATTTTATAAAGTGGATTTTATAATGAGCCTAATTTTAATATCAGAGAATTTTTATTCAAAAAAAATTCTGATTAATTTTTTTTTTGAAAAATAAGAATATAAAAAATTACCGACACAGAAATCTACCTAACCGACTGATGGCAAAACAGTTTTTTGAAAAATTAAAATATAAAAAATTACCAACACAGAAATCTACCTTACCGACTGTTGGTAATTACCGACTGATGGTAAAATAGATTTTTTGAAAATGAAAATATAAAAAATTACCGACACAGAAATCTACCTTACCGACTGATGGCAAATAACTTTTTTGGAAAATGAAAATATAAAAAATTACCGACCTAGGAATCTACCTTACCGACTGTTGGTAATTACCGACTGATAGTAAAACAGTTTTTTAAAAAAATGATAGTGTAAAAAATACCAACACAGAAATCTACCTTACCGACCGTTGGTAATTACCGACTGATGGTAAAACAGATTTTTTTGAAAATGAAAATATAAAAAATTACCTACGCAGAAATCAACCTTACCGACCGTTGGTAATTACCGACTGATAGTAAAACAGTTTTTTTTTGAAAATTGATAATATAAAAAATTACCGACACAGAAATCTACCCTACCGACTGATGGCAAAACAGTTTTTTTTTGAAAAATTAAAATATAAAAAATTACCGATACAGAAATCTACATTATCGACTGATGGTAAAACAGTTTTGAAAAACCGGATAAAATTTCAAAAAATTATTTACCATCAGTCGGTAAGGTAGATTTCTGTGTCGATAATTTTCTATATTTTTATTTCCCAAAAACTGCTTTACCATCAGTCGGTAAGGTAGATTTCTGTGTCGATAATGTTTTATATTTTCATTTTCCAAAAATCTGCCTTACCGTCGGTCGGTAAAGTAGATTTATAGGGTGGTAATTTTTAATATTTTTATTTAAAAAAATTTTTTTACCATCCTAATTAACCTTCTGACTAATTTAATATTGATTCCATTCATTTATTAAATGAATTACGAACCGTTTTACTAATTCTTAGTCAAAAATGACTGTAATTGATATAAAGAAAACTACTAATTCATTTATTAAAGTTTACTAATTGCAGTATTAACCTTACTAATTGAATTAGTAGTTTTCACTGATGGAGTTTAGTATCTGAATCAATTTTGTAAGATTTACACGTCACATTTCATTGAAAATTAGTCAAATTATTTTTGTTTTTGAAATCTACATTATCATTAATCGGCAAAACAAATTTGTCTGTTTCAATCAGTAAAGATTTAAATCTGTTTTACCGATTAATGATAATCTAGATTAGACTGATTTTCAATTACTAAATTTCAGTGGAAATTTTACTAATGTGATTCAATTGCTAAATTTCCACTATTTCATATCAGTAACAACTTACTAATTGAAATTTAAAAAGCATACAAACCCAGTCAAGAAGAGATATAGAAAATAAGAATAAATATCCTGGCAAGGATTATTTGCTTCTCTCTGACAAAGTTTACACATAAATCGCATGGTGGTCCAATGTTTTGTTTGCGCGGGAAGAGTTTTTTTTTTTTTAATGAAAAACAAAAAAAAAAAAGGAAGACGCTCTCGCGGAGGACAGATACGTGGACCGGAGACGGGACAGCGTGACGGCTCCTGGCAGGCGCGCACCAACCATCAGAGACACACGTACCGACAGACAGACAAGATAGACAGACAGACAGAAGGGTGTATTACACGCACACGTGCTGGATGCAAGAACGTTATGCTATGCCAACCGCATATGCTGGAGACATATAAGCGGTCCCGGCAAGCTAATCATAGCCTCTTCTGCCTGACAACCTGTCTCCTCCGATTTTCTGCTTAGCTGTCGGCGACGTCCTCTGAATTCACTCCTTTATGCATATAAGATGTAACGCTACTTATACACACACACCAAATACAGATACTGACATAATAGCTGATAACTTTGCCAGAGTTTTCATTTTGAGATTCACTTTATATGCAACAAAAATTGTTTTCAACTCCGAGAAGCATAGACGATTCATCATCTTAATCGGATTATACTTAATTTGAAAACTCTCCTATAATTTATTATTAATTAATTATATTTTAGTTTTTCGAAAGAAACCATATTTATTAATGAGAAAAAAAACGTTTGAGTTGATAAGAAAACATTTTTTTTAATCCCTGCTCTCTAAATATGAATTTTCTTCTAGTTTAATCAAATTTTGATTGTGCCAACTAAAGTTAGAGGGCCGCATGAATATCTCATAAAAATCATTAGCTAGAACTTTCATTTGTATGAATTTCATTTGACAGAAGTTTTTTTTAGACGAATTTTCATTTTTCTAATTAGCATTTGAGTTATTTTCTTTGTAAACGAAATTTTATTCAACATAATTTTCAGGTACCGAATTTTTATGTAACATCATTTTTATTTTAACAAAGTTTTTGTTATCCAACTTTGAATTTAAAGCATTATAATTTAGACCAATTTTAATTTATCAAAATTCTAATTCAACAGAATTTTAGTAATTCAAATTATTTAATGTCAGAATTTTTAAACTATCGAATCTCCATGTGTTAGAATTTTTATTTACACGAATTTTTATTTGATAGAATTCTTAAAACACCGAATTATCATTTGATAGAAATTACAAATGTCCGAACAAAGAAACGTCAGAAAGATTTCGGCGCAGTTTTTAAAATAGACCAATCACAATTTTTTTAATAATTTCTTATTGGTCTGTTTTAAAAACTGTGCCGAAATCTTTCTGACTTTTGTTTGTTCCGCTATTTGTAATTTCTGTCAAATGAAAATTCCCTGTTTTAGTAATTCTATTAAATTAATAAAAATTCGTAAAAACAAAAATTCGGACACATGAAGATTCAATAAATTAAAAATTCTGACATTAAACAATTCGAATCACTAAAGTTCTGTTGAATAAGAATTTTGATAAATTAAAATTGGTTTAAATTATAATGCTTTAAAATACAAAGTTGGAGAACAAAAAAATTTGTTAAAATAAAAATGATGTTAAATGAAAATTCGGTACCTGAAAATTATGTTGAATAAAATTTTGTTTACAAAGAAGATAACTCAAATGTTAATTCGAAAAATGAAAATTCGTCTAAAAAAAAATTCTGTCAAATGAAATTTATACAAATGAAAATTCTAGCAAATGATTTTTATGGGATATTCATGCGCCCCAAGTTAGATTGGAATAATCAAAATTTTGTTGACTAAACAAAAAAAAATTTTGGTTGCATGTATTTATTAACCAAAATATTTTGTTGTCAACTCAAACTTTTTTATCAGTGTATATAAATTTTATTAATGACACAAGCTGTACTTGACATAACTTTAACGGTAAGCTGCGGGAATACTAAATACAGAGGCGTGACGCGAAACTGACATCTCAAGATTTTGTCGTTAATCTTTATATTTATCGCGAATTTTTAAATTTAGAATAAACAAATTAATTATATATCGAGAAAAAGTGTTTTTCGTCCTGAATATTAATCTCTATTTTTCGCCAATTCAATAACTATTTATCAATTGACTAATAATAATTAATCAATTAATAATTTAATAATTAACCAGCATTTAATTAGCTTGAATGAAAATAAAATACCTGAACTCTAGCCTCTGAGAGTGAAACCCTTGTTGCTAATTCTTCTCGAACGAAAGCGTCAGGATAGTGCGTTCTTTCAAAAACCCTTTCCAAAGCAGCTAATTGTTGGGCGGAAAATGTTGTTCGACTTCTTCTGGGTCTTCTACTTCCGGGCACAGATGGACTGTCACTGCAATCTTTTAAAGAATTTATCTTATTATTTTACGTTCATCGAAAATAAATTCAATTTTATTTCTTAATAATAATTTAATCATTTTTCAATTTTTTATTTAGTACGAAAATTTCTTTATAGTTAAATATATGTTTAAAGTTATTTTCCTATAGTCGCGATAAAAAATATATATAATCTGTGAGAAAAAAAAAGAAGTTGCGGAAAAGCTTAGAGGCAATTCTTCAATGACTTCTCTGTCTTTGATTTCTTTGTACTTGAAAGTTCAGCAAAGCAGCTATAATTCGAGCAGTATGACTGTAAATGAACAATTTTGATTTTATCAAATGACGAATACGAAAAAAAAATCCTCGTTTTAGAAATAAAATATACTTTCGATAGAACTAGAAATAATATAAAATATATATTTGAAAATTTATACAAATTCCAATTGAAATAGAAAATATGACGTAATTTGAACTCAAAGTATATGTAAAAAAAAATTGCTTTTATTTTGGCAAAACTTCAACTTCATAAATTTAAGATTTGTAAATCATTTTATATATCAATTTCGTATAAATTTATATTCGATATATTTTGCCAAATATCCTTCACAAATGAGACATACGATTAACATTTTTTTAAAAAAAGATTTTTATAAATATGTCTTTTTAAATTATTTTTTAAATCTATTGTTCATTTTACTCTCTAAATTTTCAATTAGTGAGAATTCATTCACTATAATTTCAAGTGAAAATTTCCCCTATATAATTTTCAGAATAATGTTAATTAATATTGCAAATAGGGCTTTTTTTTACTAACACGTGTCAATTACACTCGACTAATGGCTAAAAATATTAAAAATTGTGTAATTCTCATTCGTATCTTCTTAAAAAAAAAAATTATCTTCAGCAATGATTTACTCATCTTAATATATATGAATAGATAAGCTCCAAAATAGTGATTTCATTATTTAAAATTACAATGGACCATCCATAAATTTCAATCTAATTTAAAAAAAATCCAATTTTCGCTTAAATTTCTAATTAATCCGAAATATTTAACTGCTTTAAAGGATATTTTTAGTAATTTTTTTTTTCATTAACTACTCAATTTAAATAATAGTCTTAAAAATAGCAAAACATCCACAATATTGCTGCAATATTGTGTCAGTATGTTGTGCTATTTGTGTTCATGATTAAATTATTATTAATTATTATTACCTAATTTATTTAATTAATATATAGTTAATTTTTGAAATCAAATTTTTTAAATTAAACAAAATATTTAACTTTTTAAATTTAAATAAATATTTAATTTCATAAATTCAAAGAAATTAATATTTATAATTGAATTAATAAATTTAATTTAATCACTTACCTATTGTTTGATTTGGTGTTGACAGTAATCGTGACACAGTGAAATCCTGAGGAGCATGTGAATTATGAACCTGTGACACAATCACCGAACTATTTGAATCCGCGTTTAACATTCTCAAGATTTTACACGCACTTCATGTGAAAAAAGAGGGATACAAAAAATTTCTTTCGCACATAATCCGCACATTGAAAAAATAAAAAACAAAAATCCAGTCACTACTTAATTTCCAAAGTCTGGAAATGTAAATCCTCAACGATAAATATTTTTTTTTTTTTTTGATCACGCTCCCGTATATACTATCTAGTCAAGATAAATCTTGTGGGCGTATAAATCAGTTTCAAGTTTTAAGCGGCTTTTCATCATCATATATAGCAGCAATCGCCTCAGATTATAAGCGCGCCTTTCGAAATATTAAAAAAAAAAAAAAAAAATTGACGCACGCGTGCGCCACAAGTGCCGGTAAACATTTTTCGCGCAATATTAACACTTTATTAAATCATTAGAAAGTAAACTTGTTTACTTGATTTTTTTTTCTAATTTCTAATTAAATCTGTAGAATTAATTGAGATGCGGAGAGGGAAATAATCTCTCACCCCGCCAATTAGAATTGAAATTGAATTAGATGACTTGTATATATATATTTCACGGGTAATTGAATTACCCTCGAATTGCTGTTTAATTAGGCGAGAATGGAGTGAAGACGAATGAGAAAAGAAGGAAGAGAAAGAGAGAATTTAAAGTTTATCTCTGAAAATGATTTCGCGCGACGTTTCGTGCTTAGGGCGGCAAGATGCCAACTGACTTTAGCGAGTTAAGATGTACTTAAAGTTCTCTTCTTGATTTCCCACTCAACGACGATATACGAGAAATAGAGCGATTTTAAGAGTAGGTGGAGTATTTTCTTACAAGCTCCACCCTCATTAGACGCTTATTGGCCTCTTAACAAGTTTTGATTCTGCGTTTCAAATATATACTCAATCTTAAGGAGCTTTTTCATCATCTCAAAAAGCTGATGACAGAAGGTCCCACAAAGTGTTTTATATACAGAAACAAATTTTTTCTTCTAACAGAAAAAAAAAAACTGTGAAGGCATAGAAAAGGATAAGCTTTTAAATATCAATCGATATCAGTAAATACTTTGAAATTACTGTTATTTAATACATAAAGAATCGATTTTGAAATAGTTGACATAAATATTTTTTCAGTCTACAACTAGCGTTACTTGTATTACCAGCTCCTAATCTAAAAATGATAACGAAATCGCTCCTCTTTGTAGGATTAATCCTCAGTCTTAAAACCGGAGGCGGAAATACTAAATGGATTGATGGATTAGTCAAAACAATCAAAATCGATCGGCACATCAGTCAAGTAATTTTTCTAATTGATAACAAAGTACTCACATTCCATCCACAATTTGAGATACTAATACAAAAACTATCAAACAACATTCCAATTCGAGAAATCATTTTACAAAAAAACAATAAACCTACAGAATTCGATTTTATTAATCCTAGAATATCGCTATTTATTCTCACGAATCCGGAAGTTGATTTTGATTTTTTAAATCAATTATCCGAAGCAAAACGACGACCAAAATGTTTGGTGCTTCTTTTCAAAAAACTGTCAAATCACACTGAATTTTTTGTTACCCTTTGGAATCAACAATTTTTGGATGTCACTGTACTTACCATGACACCAATTGATGCACAAAATGATACGAAAAATTACAGAGAAACGATCATTCAATACAATCCATTCTCAGGGATAATATCAAAAGAATTTGCATCTTCTACAACTATTTGGTTTCCTGACAAAATCAAAAATCTTTACGGCTATCCATTAGTTTCAAGTTTTATAACATTTCCTCCGGATGTATTTACACGAAAACGTAAATCAGGAGAAATATACAATATTGGATTAGCTGTCAATAAATATGAAATATTGGGAAAAATAATGAATTTCTCACTTGTTAAATCATCAGTACAATATTGGGGAAGACTGACATGTTCAAAAAATGAAAGTACAGGAATTAATCTTGCACTCTTAATGAATGAAATACAAATTATAGGAGCCGAAGCAAATTTGGGAGTTTGCAATGGACATGCTATGGAATTTAGTAAAGGTTTAAGAAAAACACAATATGCAATGATTGTGCCACTTGTCAAGAAAAATGGAAAATCTGTGGAGATCCAGTGGAATGTGACTAAAGCATTAACAGTGATAATTTTACCTCTTCTTATTTGGATTGTTTCAAAAATTTTAAATTTTCAATCAGACAAATGGAAAATTGAGTATCTCTTTCGAATAATCTTTGGAACTGCAGTTCCTCAAGAGCCAATAAGAACAGCAGAAAGACTAACCTTCGCTGGCTTTTTATTTGGTTGTTTCATGTTCTCATCGGAAATTGTCTCAATGATGACTGATGTTCAATTGGAAACAAATTCTGTTTTCAAATATGAAAATTTAAATGATGTTTTAAATTCAGACTTGAAAGTATTGATTCATCCACTCTATCGTTATTTGCATAAGGACATTGATGATGCAGTTTTGCAAAAAATTTTAAACAAATCTGAAGATGTATTTTCAGGAAGGGCATGTGTTAAACAATTATTGGATGATAAAGATAAAAAGACAGCGTGCATTGTGGATTTAACTCAAGTTGAATATATGGTACGAAACAAAAGAGATAATTGTGGACTACCAGTTACTAAATTGATTAAAGATCAATTTCTATCGGATCCAACTGTCGCAATACATGGAGCAGGTATACCCTACACAAAACGTTTTAATGAAATAATTCAAAGATTAATAGACTCCGGCATACCGATCAAGTGGTTGGAACCTTATTTAAGCTACAAGAAAGTTGCTATTGTTCAAATTGCCAAATCTAATTGCATTACTGGAGAATCTAATATAATGATGCGACAAATGCTTTTTTTTCCTATCATTGGTTACAGCTGCTCTATTCTAGCTTTCGTTGTCGAGTTATTCATAAAGAAAATCTTGAGTAAAAAAATAACGTTCTAAAATTCTGTTTAAATAAAAAAGTTGTGTGAATTATTCTCTCTTTTACTTTTTAGAAAATAAGGCTTAAAAAACATAGCAATACTTTATAAAAATCGATAAATATCAATCAATAATTTAAAATTACTACTCTTCGAAATTTTTATTGCACTGACATATTTTCTTAGTCTACTTTAGACAGTAGAAGCAAACAGAAGTTTTTTAAAAAAAGCCTCTAATTTCTCAACAAACTAAATATTTGTTAAATAATTTATTCAGAACCTTCATAAAGTCTTATTGAAAACATTTAATAATGATAATTGAATGAATTTGAATGAAAATGTTAATAAAATTACTAATCAGATTAATAGTCCTTAAGAGTCTCGAAACTACAGGTACTAAATGGATCGACGGATTTGTCAAAAATGTTAAAAACGATCCGTACATTAATCAGATAATTTTTTTAATTGATAACAAAGTATTTACATTTCATCCACAATTTGAAAAACTAATTCAAAAATTATCAAACAACATTCCAATTCGAGAAATCATTTTACAAAAAAACAATAAACCTACAGAATTGAATTTTATTAATCCTAGAATATCGCTATTCATTCTTACAAATCCGGAAGTTGATTTTGATTTTTTAAATCAATTATCCGAAGCAAAACGACGACCTAAATGTTTGGTGCTTCTTTTCAAAAAACTGTCAAATCACAGAGAGTTTTTCAAATCCCTCTGGACTCAACAGTTCCTGGACGTTACTATTGTTACCATGAAATCAATTGATAACAACATAAACAGAGAAAAAGTGATTCAATACAATCCTTTTACGGGGATTTTATCCAAAAAATCTCCATCTTCTACAACTATTTGGTTTCCTGATAAAATCAAAAATCTATACGGCTATCCACTGATTGCAAGTTTGCTACCATTTCCACCGGATGTATTTGAACGAAAAAATCCTCGTGGAACTGTATCAAATTTTGGATTAGGAATTAAAAAATTGAAAACATTGGGAAAAGTAATGAATTTCTCAATTGTGAAATCATCAATTCCAATTTGGGGAAATCTCACTTGTTCAATAACAGGAAGTTCAGGTGCTAGTCTAGCTCTTTTAAGCAACAAAATTCAAACAATAGGAGCCGAAGCAATTATTGGAGTTTGCGGTGGAAAAAGTATGGAATTTAGTAAAGGTTTAAGAAAAATACAATTTGGTATGGTTGTGCCTATTGTCAAGCAAGATGAGGGATCTGTGAAAATTCAAAGGCAAATGATAAAAGCACTAACAGTGATAATTATACCATTTCTTATTTGGATTATTTCAAAAATCTTGAATTTTCAATCAGACAAATGGAAAATAGATTATCTCTGTCGAGTAATGTTTGGATCTGTAATTCCACAAGAGCCAATAAAAATAAAAGAAAGAATAATCTTCGTTGGATTTTTAATTGTTTGCTCTATGTTCTCCTCGGAAATTGTTTCAATGTTAACGGAAGTACAATTAAAAACAAAATCATCATTGAGATATAAAAATTTAAATGATGTTTTTAACTCAAACTTGACGGTTATGATTGCTCCCTATCATCGTTATATGCATAAGGATATTGATGATGTGGTTTTACAAAAAATTCTCCAAAAATCTACAGTCGAACAATTTTCAAGTAAGAAATGCATTGATCGTTTATTAAAATATAAAAATGTGGTATGCATTATGGATATTTCTGATGTGGAATTGATGTTACGAAACAAAAGAGATAATTGTGGAGGACCACTTGCTAAATTTATCATTAATGAATTTCTATCGAGTTCAGGAGCCACGCTACTTGGAGCAGGTACTCCTTACGCAAAACGTATTGATCAATTAATTCAAAGATTAATTGATTCAGGCATACCAATTAAGTGGATGGAGCCTTATACAACGCACAAATTTACTTCGTCTCAAATTGGTAAATCATGCATTTCCGAAGTACCAAAATCTAATTTAATAGTACGTCAAATGCTGTTCTTTCCTATGATTGGATACATCTGCTCTATTCTTATTTTCATCTTCGAATTATTCTTAAATTGGATTTTCAATATTATTAAATAAAGAAAATTTCATTTGTACAATAAATAATAAAATAATTTTAAAATTAATTAACAGTTTGGCATTTAATTTCAAATCCTAAATAAAAATTTCGAATTTTAAAGTTTTTATTTCTATAATTCTATAAATGAATTTGATTCTGTTTAATTCATCGGCCTGTCTCTTATTACACAAGGGTGTCAAGTATCGTCTCCATTACATTTACAAAGACTACTGTAGTATCGAAAACTTTAAAGTTTCTTTCATTCGCGCTTCGAGATCAACCTTCATATTCTACAGATTAACGATATACAGAATACTTCCTTTCCTATAAAACCGGCATCTTAAGAATCGCAAGTATTTCTTTAAATTTTTAAACACAAAAAAAATATACAAAGTTTTATATATAAAAGAAAACATTTTAAACTTATTTTTAAAAAATATTGATTTTTTTCCCACATAGTTAATTATTATTTATTTCCTTTTTTTTCCTTCATCGAAATAATGGGGTATAGAGAAATGGAAAAAAAGGTGCTGGTCGTAAAATTCTTTTTAAATGAGGTTTATAGAATGTGACAGTGTGAATCATCCCTTCTTTTAGTTTTTTTTTAAACTATGGCATAAAAAAAGTGTACATAGTATATACTATATATAAAAAGGGTCTTTTTTCTATCGTTTCCATAGAAAAAAAGTAAGACTTATATACGATATACTAAAAAGGGGAATCTACAAAGATTTACGTCCAATGCCAAATATTTGTTTCGATTG